GTTTTTGCATTTAGGTGAATATTGGTATTTGGACTTTAATGGTTTTGATTTTCATTTTGTGAGTCTTTAGTTTAGTCAAACTTAGCTGTACTGTTATTTGTTTTGTTTGTAATTGTATTCTGTTTAGTTACCCCTATTGTGTCTAAATTGGTCTGATCAGCCAGTATATATACCCCTGTCTGTCATTTCTTTGTAGGTCAGTTATGTTTGTTTGTACAGCCAGTTTGTTTACATTTTTGCCTGAGTTCAGTTTTGTTCCTTTGACCTCTTTTATGAGCTCAGTTTATCTTTTGTCATCTATTTTTTGGGTTAAAATAAAAAACCCTATTTTTCTAATTAATATCCTGTGACTCCTCCTGTTTTTTTTAACTCGGTCCATCACATGTGGTGTCAGAAGTGAGGATTTTGAGTTGAGGAGCCAGGATTTTTTTTCTTTTCTCTGTTTTTTTTTGTGTGAGCAATTTTTCCCCCCACCAACAAACTTTTTGAGCCATGCAGAACGGTCTGCGCCCAAGAAAAGGAAATAAGGTTGAGACCAAAGAGGCTTCCCAGCAATCAGAGAGTCAGGAAATGGAAGGAGGAGCTTCAGCAGCAGCAGCTGAAGCCACTGATGAGGAGGAGCCCAGAGAGCCAACTCTGCATGATATTGCTGGGATTCTTCGGGCTTTCATGGGACAACAGGAAGTTCGGGAGAAAAAGCAGAGAGAAGTTTCTGCACAACAAGAACAGCGCTTTAGGAGCTTGCCTATTTTTCTAATTAATATCCTGTGACTCCTCCTGTTTTTTTTAACTCGGTCCATCACAGATACCATGGTCCTTCAACCAGGTACTGGTAGCTTTGGCACTGTGTGCAGGTGCCAAGTCCTGTTGGAAAATGAAATCTGCATCTCCAAAAAGTTGGTCAGCTGCAGGAAGCATGAAGTGCTCTAAAACTTCCTGGTATGTGGCTGCGTTGACCCTGGACCTCAGAAAACACAATGGACCAACACCAGCAGATGACATGGCACCCCAAACCATCACTGACTGTGGAAACTTTACACTGGACTTCAAGCAACGTGGATGAAGTGCCTCTCTTCTTTTCCTCCAGACTCTGGGACCTTGATTTCCAAAGGAAATGCAAAATTTACTTTCATCAGAGAACATGACTTTGGACCACTCACCAGCAGTCCAGTCCTGTTTCTCTTTAGCCCAGGCAAGACGCTTCTGACGCTGTCTGTGGTTCAAGAGTGGCTTGACACAAGGAATGCGACAGCAGAAACCCATGTCTTTCATACGTCTGTGTGTGGTGGTTCTTGAAGCACTCACTCCAGCTGCAGTCCACTCTTTGTGAATCTCCCCCACATTTTTGAATGGGTTTTGTTTCACAATCCTCTCCAGGGTGCGGTTATCTCTCTTGCTTGTACACTTTTTTCGACCACATCTTTTCCTTCCCTTCGCCTCTCTATTAATGTGCTTGGACACTGAGCTCTGTGAACAGCCAGCCTCTTTAGCGATGACCTTTTGTGTCTTGCCCTCCTTGTGCAAGGTGTCGATGGTCGTCTTTTGGACAACTGTCAAGTCAGCAGTCTTCCCCATGATTGTGTAGCCTATAGAACTAGACTGAAAGACCATTTAAAGGCTTTTGCAGGTGGTTTGAGTTAATTAGCTGATTAGAGTGTGGCACCAGGGGCCATCAATTTTGAACCTTTTCACAATATTCTAATTTTCTGATATGATGAATTTGAGATTTTCATTTGTTGTCATTTGTAATCATCAAAATTAAACAAAATAAACATCTGAAATATATGAGTTTGTATGTAATGTATGAATATAATATACAAGTTTCACTTTTTAAATGGAATTACTGAAATCAATCTACTTTTTCATGATATTCTAATTTTATGACCAGCACCTGTATATTCTAAGAACTGAAAGTTCCCATATTTTGTCACCTCAAATTTTAAGATGGTAATTATGTCAAAAATAACTAAGTGTCTGGTTTATAGAACATGTCTGCAAAGATCACGGTTTTGGTCACTGACTGCACAAGCAACCTGCAACCCATTTTAATACTGGTTTCTGAGAAATGGCTTCTATCTTACCAATTGGCCTTTCAGGACATGTTGAAACAGGGTTAGGATTATAATGTTTTTCTGTTTTTACTGTTTTGTTCATGGTTTCACATGGAAACAATGTTTCTAGGACATAGAACTTTTTCATTCCTAACTTATATGACAAGTGGCAATTTCCACTGTCTTCTATTTTCATTAAAACACGCTGCTCCCTTCTCTTGGAACAATCTACAGATCTGGTTCAAATAATCAGGTTCATATCCAAGGATCTGAACCCAACTGATCTTATTACATTGAGAGAATTTAAATTAATTGTTAACAAGAAACTAATACTATTGGTCATTGTAACTGTCTCTAGTATTTTCATATTTTATTTACCGGTAAATATATTTTATGTTTTTACTCTGGGGTTATGGATGATTCTGCCTTACTGTAATTGTGTTCTTGCTGTTCTCTTGGCCAGGTCACTCTTGGAAAAACAGATTTGAATCAATTTTTCCTTTTTAAAGGAAATAATTGAATTAGTTTAACCAACCTGGTATCTTTAGACATCTCATAGTTGTATACCAGGATGAACCAGACTTGCTCACAGTTTGGTTTCCGGTATAGAAATATTTATGATTTGACATCAGAGGAACACAGTGTGTGTTCTTAGTGTTTGGGCCCTTTTGACTTAAAAAAAAAAATAATTATTTCGTTATTCAGGAATTTAGCAAACAGAATTCAGTTTTGTAATTAGTTTCAAACAAACAGGAAATATGTAGTTTAACTTTGGACAAAAAGGGATGTCTCCCTGTGCTGTTTGTCCAAATATCTGATTACAACAATATATTTATTTTAACTTAAAACCTCTAAATATATATGCAAATATGGCTTAGCTGACAGTACTTATGGGATCATGGCTGGGCATTAAAACATAAAAAAAAAACACAGAAAATAAAATCCTAAGGAAAAAAAATTCTCATTCATTTATTGGATCCTTCATTAAATATTTATTAACACTATATACAGTCAAATCACTTTACATGGCTTCATTACAGGAATAATTCTCATATACATAAAAAAAAAAAAACTGTACATATATTTACACTCAAGAGAGACGAGTCTGTGCAACAGAAGCCAAACTCGACTTCTGACCCTACATTTCTATCCTAAGAAATACATTTTTCACAGACATTGTCAGATATTGTGTTAGCATGCAACACAAACCTGGATGAAATCTACTGAAGCAGCTGCAAGAGAAGATGCCTGTTGAAGTGTGACAGAGTAGCCAAGTGCTCTCTCGATCAAGAGCCAACATGATGGTGTGTAAATGCCATTCCATCCCCTCCGCAGCCCGAGGCAAAGTCGCAGCCCTTTTCTGCCTGGATGATAAAGTGAGCAGATGTACTGACTGGCTTTAAACAGAACAGAAGGACAATCTACAATCCTTAAATCACATCGAAACAGATTCATGAGTTTTGGTGATTGATTGTCAATGTCCTTAATATACTCTCTGTTTTTACAAAGCAGTCAGGACATTTGGCTGAGGCACCAGGCTAATGCTAATTATGTTGTGAGGCTTTTAACTTTGTGAAGTTTAAAATTTCTCAACTAAATAAGTACATTGGCTATTATTATTGTATGTATGAGATCTGTACTGTGTCTGGGAGGTTGTATATCATCAGGCATCCCCAAATGACGGTCCTCGAGGGCTGCTGTCCTGCAGGTTTTAGAGGTTTCTGTGGTTTAGCACAGCTGATTCTGATGATTGCAGTTCAGAAAGCCTGTTAATAAACTATCGATGGAAATCAGCTGTGCTAGAGCAGGGAAACCTCTAAAACCTGTAGGACAGAGGCCCTCGAGGACCGACTTTGGGGATGCCTGCTGTATATCCTCTATAAAACCCATCATTAGCAGCACTGTTCTGTTTACCTTATAAATAACAGAATTTTCAAAGCTGGGATCTACCTATTCTATGTGGGAGGAGTTTAATATAATCCAATGTGGAGGAAGCAAGTTTGTTTGGGGAAGTTTTATTCAGTATTACCTGATGTAGACAGGAGTAGGAGTCATTTTACAGGCAGAACAACTCAAACTGCAGATGCACATTAGCTTTTGGAGCCATTTTTGCCTAAAAGGTTTATTTTGATTTGGAGGTCAATGCAAAAGCAAATGCGTAACAAATACAGTTATTTAAATCTAAAATAAATATTGTTATAATGTTGTAGAGATTAGAAATGTACTAATTACTCAGTGAGCAATGGTCTGAGCAGCTGTTAGCTTGACTTCTCCATGAAAACTTCACATTTATTTTCTTAAGGGTTACCATCATTAGAAATGAGAAACAGGTGACATAGTTCATTTAGACATGTTCTGTTCTGATAAATGGAGGTTGCCTTGTATACTGCCAGTACATCAGGATACTCAAGCTTGATTTGAAGGGGAATATTGAACATTTAAACATATATATAGTCTGTGTAAAGAAAAAAATACTACTATTTTATAAATGAACATTTAGTGCAGTACACTTTGGAGTAGAGGGGTGTGGGTAAACCAATGCCAGGTTCCATCAAGCATATCTACTGGTTTATTTTTCAAATATGCGTGATTTTAAATAATTAGCATGAGCTGCCAAGGATGGAAATTTATCTGACTTTTAGACGAATGACATGAGGATGTTTCCGTCAGCCATTCCAGCGCTTTAGACTGCAGGATACAGCTAGTGAGGTAGACTGTTCCAATGCATACTGATTTTTTTTTCCCTCCCTTGCAGAAAATTTGACATGAGGATTTTTCCAGCATTCTAGAGATTTTGCATTATTCCTATTGCCAGAATCAGAATGTAACACTTAACAAAACCAGTTTGTGTTCCTTATTAGTAAGCAGTTTCACATGCAATCTCAAATTTCCTGTTAGAGTAATTATTGGGTTTGTGGTCTGTATTTCTTTAATATTTACACTAGCATATGAACAGGCAACCAGTAAAATGAAGATAAAGTCTCCTGAGCATCTTTTTTTTTTTTTTTTTTTTTATTCTAATATATGAAAAAGACAAATTGAAGGTAGATCTTATTTTCCTGAACTTATTCTACATTTCCTATCAGAGACAATAGTATGAGCAATTCCTAAACCTACAGTAGATTTAAACAGATGTGCTTATTTAAGGTCAATGTCTAGATTTCTTTTATAGGGTAAGATAAAAATATGGCTTAATCTATGTCTAAAAAGAGGGGTGTATAGAGTTTGCAGAAAGGTTTGCTTTAAAAAGTGCTTGTAAATCCTAATTAGCAGAGACTAATCTGAGATCAAGTGATCTGAAAATCAATTAAACTCAAATTTATCGCTGCATTTAAGTTTAGAAAAAATTGTATGGCACAAGTATTTACACATCAGGGAATGAAGTGGTGCTGAATAAGATGAAGTATCAGATTAAGCAGGTGTCAGACTTTGGGAGCAACATGAAACAGTAGAACACAAGCATCTCAATAACTTCAAATATCATCAAAAAAGTGATATATTTTTGGAATTTCATCTAAAAAAGTTAAACTTTATCTGAGTTAATTTTTAAGGTCAGCCTCACAATCCTTTCAAAGCTACAGTTATCACTGTATTGTGGACCTCTTTCTAACTCAGTTTTTCCTTCTACTCAACTTTCCATTGATGGTACAGCACTGCGTTAACAGCAAGCTTCTTTAGGCAAAGAACCATTTAAGGCTCATCTTACTTATTAAAGCCATCAATTACTGTCTACTTAAATTTATAATATTTTTGATTTCTTTAAATTTTTTATAATATAAATGTATCTAGTAACCTAAATTAGGATGTTTGTCTGCTGTAGTTAGGTCTTTTTTAGCCATGTTGGCTGTTAAAAGTACTCTATAGGTGTGTGTATCATAAGGGAAAGTTTAATGGAGGGAAAGTGCAGGAGGAAAAGAAAATCTAAATAAATCTACAAAATATAAGAATTTACAGATAACATTGCAAAAAAAAACAACTAGTGTGTAACAGATTTACTCTTTTTTTTTTTTACTTTCTGATAACATTTAAATATATTGAGATGCCGCTCCTTTTCATAGCTCGAGTAATTCTTAAAGTTGGTATGTTCTTCTGAAACCAGGAAAATAACCACATTTATCCAAAGGAATGGAAGCAAACAATCGGTACGATTGGCAGCAAAGTGCATCCCCCCATGAATGCTGATGTTTATAGATTATAAATCAACTAATTAGCTCTACAGCCATTAAATAGCCTTCAGCAAATGTACAAGCGATTGAACTACAGAGAGCCTAAAGCTATGGGAATACAGCAAGCAGGAGTGTGTATGAGTTAGAAAATGAAGCAGAAGAGATTTGTCTTTTCATTACCACCACTTTAACCTGGTGTGATGGTGAGCAGGGCCATTTGATTGGCACAGAAAAAGTACAGCCAAGGGCCCAAAAATCTGCAACCCTTTGAATTGTGGAAGTTTATTACCCTGCGTATAATTGTGTACCAGCCACCCCAGCTATTTTACATATATTACATACTGTACACTTTAGAGATGACTTAATGGTTAAAAAAAATAAACAAACAAAAACAATACATCAGTGCACAACTTCTTCAAGGCTTTCAGTTTTGGCCAGTTTGGGAAGGTGCCAAGTGAAACTGGCACAGTACATAGATAAGAAGTAAAGGGAGTCAAATGGAAACGTGAAAACACACAAAATGAGTATTTTTCAAAAGGGTATGAAAAATTGACAGTACCATTTCTGTTCAAAATAATAATATTCTCACAAACAAGGCATTTGGTTGGTAGAAAAAGCTAGTTTCGCAGCGTAACATTATGACTAATGTCCGAAATCATCAACATATACCTGAGTTTCTAATCATAGCAAAATAGTATTGAAGACAATGCTTTGCTAGAATATTTTTTTTTACCCCCCCCTCTCAAAAGAAAACACTACAATTTAATAAAAAATTGCTTTTGGCGAGTTTAAGCAGCTTCAGATTCATGCTTGACACATGAAACAGCAGCAGGACCTCTAAGTTTTCTACTTTCATCTCCTAAGAATGTTTCTTTATGATCAAAGGATCACCAAATAAAATGTAACTACATATTGGTCCGGCTCTGGGTCTACTGTGAGGAAAAGTGCACGGAATCAGCAAAACATTATTTTTTTCAATAAGATAGTGCTGAGCTGAACAACTAGCAGACAAAAGTTGGGTTTTAATCAAGCACTAAGACATCTGAGCGGCATGAAGCTTAGAATTTGGAAAAGGTAGGAGCTAATGGAATTACGCGAAGCCGTTTTAGGTATTAGGAGGCGTCAGACAACTAGAAGGTAATGGAAGCGACTTTCAGGGCATGAAGCAGTCCTACGAGTGTCTCTGTGTTATTATGCAGATTGTGAATCAACACAGTGAAAGATGCCAAGACCCATCAAGCAAGATGGATAGCCAAAACATCCGTTCAGACTGTTTATTTATCCGTGGCATGTGCATATGTGCGTGTTGCCCACACATCTAATCTGCCACATAAACAGATTTGTACATCAGTGCACGGGCACAGGAAGTTTATTCCTGTTTGAAAGAGTAGCAGCTAAATGGTGGGTGGAAGAAAAGTGGGATTAAAAAAAAAAGGAGGGAAGAAAAGAATCTCTCTCAGTGATGACCTACTTTCACACAAGAAATCTTGCTGGGAAAGTAGCTGGAAGAGCTGAACTTCTAATTAAACTGGTGTTCAGGAGAAGTTTAGAAGCTGGAAACAAGGTGGAGTCTAAAGTAAGGCTGGTCAGTGTTAAAATGGAGACAGCAGGAATGATAAATGGGAAAAAGAGGCCCGATGCTGCAGATGCACGCCGACATTTTCAGCCAGAGTTTAACATCTGCTTCGTCAGAAAACCAGACGGTGGGATTACCAGGGAGAACGGGGGGGGGGACATGTCCATACACAGTTGAAATCATAAAGCACCAACTGCTTACACACAAAGACCCGTAAAAAAATGTTCCTTCCCACCTCAGGTCAAAGGTCAAAGTGAATGAGGTAGGAAAAACAATAACTTAGGATTTACAATAAAAACAAAAACATGATTAACTTTCAGTCATATTCCTGGCAAAAAAAAAAATGGACAGCAAATAGTGGTGAATTCCAGTGATTTTTGAGTGGAGAATGATAACAGTCCAGTGACCCACCGCCATGATCATTAAACATGACTATCCGATGTTTTCAGTATCTAAACAGCCATATTGTTGGATAGACAGTAGCTAATACTGTAACACTCAGTCCCACAGATACATGAGCAGATTCATCTCTCACTGCCTGAAACCTTGGTGGAAAAAAAAAACAGAAGGGCACTTTCATTTAGTACCAGGCTGCAGGTGGTTGTTTTCATGTCAGGTGAGAAATTGTTTTGCTGGGTGGATGCTTCACCAGGATGACAACATTTATCCCCAAGTAGCACCACAGCAGAATGGCACTTTGAAAGTTAAAAAAACATCTGAAAGGCATATGTTTTGACTTCCCGATCCACCATTTTTCTGTGCGATCCACACCTTGATTGCCTCTGGAAACTGTGGCTGCGGCGTCACATCGTGTCGCTGGAAGCGACTGCCATTTGCAGCACGATGGCTGACAGAGGATCCACAGCCGCTCTGCTTCTCACCTCTTCCTCCACACCTTTGACAACCAGATCTTCACCGTCTTGTCGCTGGAGAGGAAGAGAGAGAGGGGAGGAGGGGGATGAGCGAAGGAACAAAAACAAGGAGAGCACAACAAACGGCGGGGGAAATAATGGGACATCAATCAGGTAGTCCTGCCTTTCAAAACAACTCATAGCGCATCAGAAAGATGCGTACTTCAAAGCGTGCTTGTCTAATGCACAGGCCCAACACACACTTCATTAGAGACCATTCCCCACACCGTCTGTAACGCCTCACTGAAGAGTTTCACTCTGCATCGTCATGAGAACTCTAATATCAGATTATGCTTTTATTTTACTTTTTTACACTTTTTTCACATGTACCTCCACCCGCTGTTTGTAAGTCAGGGAAAAGTTAAATCAAGCACATTCAAGAGGGTCATTAGTCATTAGAGGAGGTGGAACTCTACACTGAAAAAACGCTCCAAACATAAGTAAAAAATGTCTTAAAATAATTTGGCTTTGAGCAGGTAAATAAGATGATCTGTCAATAGAAGGAATATTAAAGTACTTGCTATGCATTTGAAATTTTTTTTATTCTTATTTTCAATGCAAGTCATCTTCTTCCATTGGCAAACAATCTGACATGATAAAATCAGGGAAAATAAACTAAATGAATTGACTTTCTATTATTTCAATGTTTGCAGTTTAACACAATAAACTGCAAAATTAAATATTAGCAAGTAATTTTTTTTTTATCAGTGTGTTTTCCCTTGTATAGAGCAGGTAGGTAGGACAATTTATCAATGGAATAAGATGATTTACATTTTAAATGAGATAAATATCTTATTAGCTTAATTAAGGTGCATAATATTCATTATCTTCATTATTCCAAAGGCAGATCATCTTATTTACCTGCTCAAATTAAGGGAGAAAACATTTATTTTAAGACATTCTGACTTATTTTCAAATCAGTTTTGCAGTGAAGGGTGACCCTATATGGCATTATTAAAAATGCTCTATTTAGGATTAACATATTTTCCACTGAGAACCTTAAAAGGATAACTTTAGTTTATTTAAATATAAAAAAACAGCATTTCCTCTGATAGGTGTAATGGTAACTGGGGCCTGATCCCAGTAATGCATGCCCTCTTAGGCTGGGATAACATTGACAGTTGGGACTGTGGTCCTGATTTAGTGCAGGCTTGCTAAAGTTCATGTTGATTCATGCTTTATCCTGGACTTATAAGGCTAGACATATTATCTGTGTGCAAAAATATTATTTTTCTTCCTCTAAAAGCTTCTCTATTCCCCCAGTTTCTCTTTTGTTGTCTTGTTTACACTATTCATGTTGGTCTGACTCATGTTTCCACTGGTTAGATGGGTCCCTCCTTTAATATACTTGGATCAAGTAATTAGGTATTAGAAGGACTTTGAAGAATTTGGTTAAAGTGAATAGTTATAGCCGAAAGCTTCTGTCCCTGTACCTTTGGCATAGTCAAGAGTAGGAACACTATTCTGGTAAAGAAAGGAAGTATGGACTGATGTGCTGAATCCAGACAGCCTTTAGCGGTCCAGAAATCACTACATGACAGAAACGCACATGGATGTTGCTAGTTGAATTGGGACTACAGCTTTCCGGAAAAGGACAACAAAGACATATCAAAAAGCTTTAGCTCTCTACTGTACAAACAACAACAAATGAAGGTGTGTACATTTTTTCTGTCAAAGGGAGAACATGTGAAGCAATAATTTCAGAGCACACAGCAGTATGAGGTGGTCTGTGCTTATACCTTACATGACACAAAGGATTGTGGGAATCCTTACAGGTTCTTAGCTCCAGTGAGGGACTTTGCAAACTACCTATGCTAATAGGAAGGATGATAGGACGCATACAAGCTCTTTTTCCTACTCCTTTCCTACTGCCATTACTTATCAATGGTGACTGCTGACACACTGTCACTTCAGCTAAAGAGTCCTTACAGCTTGGGGCAATGAACACAGAGCCCCTAACTTCATGCTAAGGAGATACTTAAGGCAATTTGATTCAGACATGTTGAACCAAATCTAGCTAAAAGCTTTGAAACTTGAACCATTGAAACCCCTGTTTCAAACCAAATAATAGGAACTTAAAGCTACAGTGTGTAATAATTACAGGGATATACAGTCAGAAATGTAATATATTATACATAACTATGTTATTTATCATCATCTACGAGCTCAGCCTCTTAATCTTAATATTTGCGTTGCCTTAGAATTCGTTATTTATAATTACATAGGAGCGGGTCTCGCAGCCATGGAGGCAGACATCTTTGCGCCACGGCAGCGCAGAGCCAACAAACTAGCGATTGCGAGATTGCCCATTACGCTCGAAAGTAACTACGGCAAGAGATGAACTGAGACGGTACTGAACACACAGACTAATGAAATACTATCTGTAAAATTATCTATGTAAACAAACCTCATCACTTGAGAAGGTAGGTGATGCGGACGTCGTGGAAGACATTTTGCCCCGTAGCGCTCGCCGTACTGTTGGGGGGGAAAAGCGGTGGGGGGGAGATGTTCATGTTGCTGCAGTCTGCAGTCTGACCGCTAGATGTCGCTAAAAGTTACACACTGTAGCTTAAAGGCACTTTTTCTGCTACCATAACGCACATAAGTACTTCTGCCATGAAGTTACACCTCTGGTTCAGTTGTCATGGTGTGGGATATTGCTGCAGGTTTATGCATACTACCTTTATTTGTTGACTCTGTCAGATGACATGTTAAGACCGGATCTTCAGTTTTAATGAGATCACTGCAAAAGCTGATCTGATGTTTATTACAAACATCTTAAAATGAGTATTTACCCTTACTTAGAGCAACTAATTAAGATGATCTGCCAACAGAATTATCAATTTTCTTCTCCATAAAATAAGATATTATGCACTTGAAAGAAGATAATGGTGCTTTTATCTTGATTTAAAAATAAATCATCTTCTTCCACTGACTAATTATATTACTTACCTGCTCAAATCAAGAGAAAATAAAGCAAGTCTGTCAAACTGACATTTAGAAGTAGATTATTGTCAAAAAGTGGTCATCATTACCATGGTGATTTTGAATAATGACATTATTAAAGGTCATTGTTAATTATTGTTAATTTTTATAAACGTTTGTAATAATCACCTTTTTATTTGCTTTTACTTTTCAATGAATTTTTAGCCTCTTATATTTTTAATATTTTTTGTTAAAATAAAATCTAAATTCAAATTGAGGCTTCAGACTTATTTGACCTTTTAGATTGTAAACAAAAGTTTTAAAGTCATATTTTTAAGTACTATTACAATTAGTAGACAACATTTCTTTATGTCCAATCCTACAAAACCGTAATGGGACATTTTTCTGAAATCCTTTGGATCAAGACCGTTATTCAGGCTTGTCATTGATGGGGTAGCAATTCATGAAGTAAAACCTGCTTACACCCAAACAGAAAAGAAGAGGAAGATAAGCAAATCAAATGAGAAAGAAGTGAATAAAAACAATGGGAAAGAAGGAGAAGAAGGAGGAATAAAAAAAAAATTTGTGGCACAAAGAAGAGAAAATTCAGAGCAGAAGAAGTACAAACAGGAAGAAAAGAATGAGCGGTTTAGAGAATACCAGAGGAAAGGAGGGTCGGTGTGCAGAGGACAGGCAATCATGGGAGGCTGGTGGCTCGGCCCTTGATGGCCAGGACCCGGCGAGGAAGACATGGGGTTAAGCCTGGCACATAGTTCCACAACTTCACCCTGCAGTCACTGGGGTTACAGGAGGAGGAGGGGTCAGACGAGGAAGAGGATGGAGGAAGTCAGAGCAGGAAAGAGTAAAGTAAAGGTCCAGATCAGGAAATCTTTGCTCATAGAGAAGATGGTCTGAAGCTAGAAAACAACAGATGATTAACCAGGTTAAAGACAGAAAGCAGACCCAGGCAATTAAAGCGTTGCTATATTTGTTTCATACAGTTATAACATCAGAATTATAGTTTAACATTACCTCAGCGACTCGAGGCTGACATGAAACAGCTTATTATCAGGCATGTTCCACAGAAAGACCACCTTCTAGATAAAGGGCAAACTTTTTACTTCTGATCTCACCATTTAATATCGACTAGAATTTGAACTTTATGTCATTTGACATTTCTAGCTCCAAACCGCTCATTAAATCCTTTTCAGAAGACCTCAGTAACTGACTACCTACAAATTATTTTACATGCATGAAGAGACTGGAAACAAGAAAAAGCTGGTTGAGATTATTATTATTCTCTTTTTTTATATATACTTCAAAACTAATAGCCACAGTATATATTGTCCAGTTTACATTTTCTGATGTCACAAAAAAGCCTTTAGGGTGTTTTATAATATTTGATACAATACAAAGAAAATTGATTTTTATTTAACAGAAAAATAAAAAATATGTCATGCATTCCTCTTTATTTCCCTTTTCCAGAGTTGGGCATCATTTGAATTTGAAAGCTTCCAGTTCCGTTCTTATTTATCCTAATTAGATTATTTTAAGAGGAAGGATCATACAAGTTCACCTTTTAAATTATTTGGAGCTGAACCAGAGTTCTTTGGAGATGAAATAGACTGAACATTTAAATGAATTTTAATTCCTTGAACATCAGACTCTATAAATTTTCACATTGTTATTGTCAAGCAATATGCTGATATCAAACGAATAAACTTGGATAAAAGTTGTATGAATTTTATTTTCACAGGACACTTTAAACTTCTACATGGAGCTTTCTTCTGGGGGGAAAACAAAATGTTTTAAAACACAGTTACACATATCCAGTGTCTAATGCTGCAGGTATCCATGCAATTCAATAAACCTTTATTACTTTATTTACGAGATTATGACATTGGTGCGGTTCTAGGCAGAGTCTCTGAGCGTGATGTTCTAAGAAAGGAATCACTACAGAGGTTATATCCTCAGCGCTGTTCACTTTGTTCCTCTGCTCACAAAAGTAAAAAGTCATTAGTTCCACTTCTAGTGGAGAGGGACTGAGGCAATCAGATTTCGTACTCCATTGTTCAGTTAGTGGGTTTCAGTTGAAAAGGATAACAAATAAAGTAAACTATGAATAAAGTTGTGCTTAAAATTACTTCTAACTCTGCCATATCTAGATTAAAGTGGTTTACAGCCCATTAAGAGTGTGCAGACAACAAGCTAGGTAACTGTTCAAAAATAAAATACCTTTGGGAGCCTCAGTCACTAAGGAATTAAAGGCAAGGCTCTCGTCCTGAGTCCACTGGTGTTTAATTATGCACATTGCTGAATGATTGCATCACACTTTTGAAAGTCGAAACACAAACAGATGACTGTGCACACACTCCTACAAATTCTTCTTCGCTGGTATTTGGGAGCTTTGTCTCTGCTCAACGGACTGGGCATAGAAATCAAACTTAAAATGTGCACAATTCCAGGAGAATCGAAAGGTTTCCAACTGAGTCTCTGCACCCTACCCTATACTCTAAAACCCCTACACACTGCCATCATGGGGCGCCCGAGGAGCAATCAAGGGGTTAAGGGTCTTGCTCAGAGACCCAGAGTCGCAGTCTGTGGGAGTAGAGTTCGAATTTAGAACCTCAGGATTCCAAGTTCAATGCCCTAACCACTAGGTCGCCACTCCCCATATAAATTCAACCGTGAAGGTCTCTGAGGTTAGTAAAGAACTTAAGAAAAATCATTATAAAGAAAAAGAAACGCCACAGGGGTCAGTTTTAGATAAACCTAAAGTACAGTTAGGGTTGGGTGTTTATACAATTAAAAACAAACTATCTCATAAAGCACTGTTCAGTCAAACTTTTAAACTGGAAAAAGTAAGACTGACCAATAAAAGCATTCATCAGAGAAGCAGCGAAGCTGCAGGCCTTCTGTCATTTGCGCCATACATCTGTCTCTTATTCTGGAGGAGTAGCAATAGAAAAATGCCACATTTATGCCTACATGCAAAACCTTTATTTTGTGGCAGTAAATTACACCACAGTAAACATGGAGGTGGCAGAATTATACTTTGCTTTTCTTCGGCAGAAACTCTTCAGAGTTTATTAGAATTATGATGGAGCTAAACACAAGACGAAAACCTGTTAGAGGCTGCCACAGACTTGAACCTGGGACAGAAGTTCACCTTCCAGGAGATTAATGACTCCAAAACGCAGACACAGCACCAAAGAAATGATTTAGATCAAATCATACGGATGGGGTAAACTAGTTAAAGTTCATTCCTATATCTAACTGAGAGTATGAGAAGATTTATAAAAGGATCACCAAAAATTCATTTGATAAAGACATCCCTTTAATACTAAAAAGCCTCATTGGCAATAAAGCATTCTTCTGTAAAAATACATGTTGCACTATTCAGATTTTTATATTTATGTTTTGTATTTAAAAAACATTAGGAAACCCTAGATAATTTAACCAGCACTATTTAATTTATAGAATATCCAAAGAAAAGCAGAGTCCCGGGCTCGCGAGGGCCGGTCAAAGTACAGAACTGGCTTTCAAAGATGGTTTTTCTTGTTTTTGGTTTGTTTTTTTATTTAATTCCCTCTGATTTTCCTTCCACCAACCCAATATGCACCATTTTGTATTGAGCGGTACCATAAAACTCCAATGACAGCAGTTTTTCTAGAAAAGAACTTCTGAAGTTTGTGGTTGTAAAGTGAAAAATAGGAAAATAAATAATGGATTTTAATACATTTGCATGCAATCAATCACATTTCTTAATATAAATCTACTTTAACATACCTGGAAGCTGTAAAGATCTGTCTGGAGTTGGTGCATATGGCATTAATCGGGCTCTCGTGACCTCTGACCTCTCCTATGGGCGTGAAGTTGTCTACATTCCACACCTTGAGCATGCCGCCCCGACAGCCGCTCAGCAGCATGGGCCGGCCGGGGACGTAGGCCAGCGCGCAGACCCAGTCCTTGTGGGCATTTGGGATTTGCTGTGAAGTAAGAACAGACCTGAATTAGGAGCTGAATGAAATATATGAGGTTTATAGAAAAAATTAAAATGCAGTAAAACATGTGAAAGACTTGGGCTACTGTGGTCTTTAAATAGAAACAGATAAACATACGTTCAGTTTTCCCTTTATAATGAAAAGAAATTAGTTATCATGAGGACAACATATTCCTTGAATTAAAAGTGAACCTCATTGTTGCTAGGCAACATAAAAGTACAAGTTTTAGAGACTGTTTTTAGAATGTGCCACAGCTATTCTTAGGCTGCATGTCTATTAGCTTTGAGTTTTACAATGGCTTCAAACAGAATTCATAAGCCAGGAATGATCTGTTCACATCGACATGAAGGTCTGCAAAGTAGGACTGGGATGATTAAGATGAGAACACGTGAATCTTAAGAGTTATTTAGCTTTCTGGGTGAGACAAAAAGCATTTTTGTTTCTATTTGGCAAAGCAGTTTGAGGGTTCATTAAAGAAAGTCTTTGCTTTTAAATAAACCTTTGTGCTATTTTATTTGCAGAAGATTCCCTGAGCCCTGTTTGCCTTCTGAGAATAAACAAAAGAGCCACAAAGACATCAAACAATCCGACTCTAATAGGAAATAGTTTTTGCTTCTTTTTTCCAACACGTTTTTTGAGAGATCCTTCATGAACAGAGAACCCACAAGACCGTGATAAATCACGCTATAGCTAAGATGTCAAACTAAATCAGTTGAATCAGTTCAAATGTTATTTCCTAAACCACAGAGCAAGCACAGGTAGAGCAATTTAAATTTTATGCAAGGCTTTATTAAACTTTTATGACTCCAGCAGTTTGGGCTTTAATGTTGTTCTATAATTGCATTCATCTCAGCCACCAGGGCAGCACATTAAAGCAGCTCGGAGCAGAGGAACGCACACTGAGGAAGACGTGTTTTTCTATTAAATTAATCCTCTTTTTTGTCTCTCATCTGTCACTGAAGATTTCAAACATTTTATATTTGCTTTTCACAGAAATGTAAAAAAATAAATAAATAATGTCCGTCACATTTAAGACGTTTGCAATAATTCAAACATAACTTTCCTCGTTAGTTTGACGGCCTGCAAATTTAAGGAAGTATTTTGTGTCACTTTAAAACCAAAAGCAGTGAGACTAGAGAGCAGCCATACCTTTAGGTCACAGAAAGCACATGCATCTCTACTCCCTCTATTTGTAATGAATCATTAGTGTTGCGTTTCATTTGATTAGACATTTTTTTGTTGTTCAAACTGAGGCTCGAGTAATATTTATATTTAATATTCATGTTTATTATATAAATGGTAAAATCCAATATCTGCCTAAGGAATTTTTCCCAAACAAACAAAACGGCAGCAAATATCTGGGATCAGACTGGTCTTAAAAACACATATTCTTCAATCTCTCTTTAATTAACATATATGGCTTACTATCCATCTAGGCTATGGAAAAAAATGTGGAGCAGACGTATATTCCTCTTTGCCATTTTTTAAAAGGGGTTATACAGGTGAACGTGTCTACAGTGAAAGGAGTAATTGAAAACAATCTGAATCTATATTGCCACCACAAACGGTGAAAAGCATGGGAGGCACAAGAGAAAAGCTCCTGAGCGTACAGCAGCAGAAAGGGGAGTCATGAGATCGCAAAGTCTCCATGGCAACAATGTATTTGAGCAGTTTTGTACACATCTTTAACAGGAGGACCAGTCATTGGTGGTTAAAGAGCTTGAATACACCTTTTCTGGGATATTCTCTTATTCAAGGATGACAAGTTTATCCTCAAAAAGGTTTCAATGGTCTCTAAAGAAGCACATATTTATTTATGTTTGGTACAAACATTTTATTAATCATCATATCCAACTTAGACAACCTTTGTGATGCTGAGGATTAGCACTCGCTCTGCACTCCACCATATTTCTTCCGCTCCGCTCACATGCACTGATGGACATTAGCTTACATGTGTGTGTTTTAAATAAAACTGTTCATACCAGCATGTATCACACGTGTGGATTTTTGGTAGAATTCTGATGCAACATTGCTACAAAATCACTACCGAAGTATAGCAGCAAACCAAAAGCTAGGTAAGCCTGATGCTGTTATGCAGATGTTCCATCTGCGCTGATGAAACTGGACTCAGATTGCTGAAAGCCTGGAGGGATCATCCTGTAAGTAAACTGGGTTTACATTCCAAAGTTCAGCTGATAAATAGCTTGACCACTCAGAGGACATGTAACTTTGGAACAAAAGTCAAATTTTACATTTTACTCACTTTATCCCACAAAAGTTTGCACAATATAAAACAGGTTTACCATAGACGGCACATATACTTTAAGTATCAGAACTTTATGTGTCACAGAACTTTCTTTGTTCACAGCTTTTTTTTTTTTTACTACACCATCAGATTGTCTTAAAATGCAAACTGTGTGTATTTAGCAACAGCTTGACTTTGAAGGTGGGGAGAGGATAATAATAGGATCATTGGTTATCGAACAGCAGTTCCCCAACGTTTGATTTATGCCTCTGAGGTAGAAGCCAGATCTACGAAATAAATAAATCACCCTTAAATGCTGGCACAAAAATCTGTCTGAATTTTGTTTTTGTTTTCCCTTTTTTCTTGTTTTATAGTCCAAACAAAAGGACAACAGCTTTTATATACGCCACATATCACCAATAATTTTACAGTTCAAACTAAATGTTACCAAAAGCATCAAGTTGCTTGTTTTTACTCTGTGCTAACCTTTGGCTAGAGGAATGGACACTACCCTCCATTTCTACACACAGTATTATAATGTGAGGATGTTTTTCTGTGTTTAAATATTGGCTAGGAGGACAGCAACCGAAATTTGGGAAGACAAAAATAAATCTGTGCAACTCAGCCTAAACATGCAGTCACTCACATTCTAGGAAATAAACAATACATATTTCCCAACAGCTGAACGATGCAGGAGAGAAGGAAAGAATGAATATCTATTTACACACACAAAATTAAAAAAATTAATGTCTATATTAGTAGATCATTACAAATAAGGACATGATTAAATTGTCTGATTCCAACTGGATCTTATCTTCAAAGCTAATGGGAAGGTTATTTAGAATTAATTACACCCCTGTTGCTTTCAAATAGGCCTGGGTTAAAATATTTTCACCTAATTAGAATAATAAAATTTCTTCTCAAACAAGTTTCATAATAAAAATGAGAAATTACATAAACTGCATTCATAACTAGCTTTTATTTAAATCATCCCCTCTGGAGGGGGACCTTAACCTGAAGAAAATCGGACCTCAAGCTGTGTAAAATGCTGGAAAACATTTATGTTTTGCTAAAAACAATGAAAATATAACAAACTAACCGTTTGCAGCTAGTGATATCACACAGTGAGATAGTTTATCGGTTATGGATTCACATCTAAGCGATGAATTAAAGTTACTCTGAGCTAGAAGGACAAGGAAAAGATTGGTGTAAAAAAAAAATTATAGTCACAAATAAAAACATTCTAATAATCAATAAAATCGATTAATGATCCAGCAATACAACTTTCAAAGGATTCAAACTGGAGAGAGAAATGTGTCTCTAACCAAGTGTATCATCACCAGGTGTCACTGCATATAGACTGCTGACTTTAAAGTGATCCAGGAGTATTTAAAGCAATGCAAAAAAGGAACTCATCTGTTACCAGGAGGCCTCTATTCTATGAAGGACCAGAAGAGTCACTGAAAACAAAATAGAACTGCTCGTAATTGCACATTTTAAATGACACCTTTTTAATAATTATTCAAATACTACTTTTCAGGATTTTAAAAAGAAAATGGAAGCTGAAATGGAAATTACCCTTTTAAATGTTGGATAAGGAAAGGTATTTATAACCAGATTTTTGAACTGTGGTTTTTAAAAATCCATTTTGCAAAAAAAAAAAGGCTTTTCAAATTGCAGCAATGAATAATGGATTAATACACACAATATACAATTCCTCTTTAATAATTTAATTAAAGATGCTGAATTAAAAATAATTTCGAATCTAACTGCATGATTTAAATGTCATATTTATAGTGGGTTTTTATTTATTTATTTTGGAATGACTCTCCTGGTCCTCCATATGGAATAAGAATTATAAAGGAATGTTTAAGAATGAAGCATATTTGCCTATTAGAATGGCCTATCTAAAGTTTGGAACTAAACCAGGGCTCTTCTCACAACCTTTGCTTGTTAGAATCATTTTATAAACATGTCTCATCTCTGGATGTGTAACACAAATAGAGGTTTACCTCACAGGCACTGAAGCAGTTGAAGTTAAAGGTATTTGACTCTGTGTGACTAAATACAAAAATGTCTTCTTTTTGTTTCAAAAAAAATGAAAAAACAAATTAAAACGAAAACCATGGACAGTTCCCCTTCAACTTAATTCTTCAATGCAGACGTGAAGAGTTTGACACATGTTGCGTAATAAAATAAACGAGGACTTAGATAATCGACATTAACACTTTACACTATACTAACACTTTACATAAACAAGCAAAAGTCTGTTAAATCTTTTACGCCTTACAGAGAAACACGCAGCACTAACAACAGTTACATAAACACTTATTACCCTGCAAATCTGCATACACACTGTAAGCTATTTGGTGAAGGCTATATTGAGACATTCATCAAGTTTGGGCAGGAGGGGGGTCCAGCAGGCTGCAGTCTACAGTAATTATAAGCATATTACTTCCCACATTCCTTAAGGAAAACAACAACAGAGGCTGCCTTTTATGGTGGTGGTCAGGGCACGGCAGCTGCCAGTAATAATACTGTAGAAGTTTTTAGCGTTAACACCATAACACGTTACATTATTATACCCAAAGCCACAATTTCATCGCATTACATAATTATAAAGAGACCACAGAGTCAGGGAGGCTTTAAAATTGATGGTGTTGGCGGCTTCACAAATGTGGTTAAGGTCATATGCTACAGTCCGCAGCAAAGAGCGAGTTGATTTAATTCCAGCTCTGCAAAGAAATAATTGCGTCCTGTGATTTGGTTTTGTCTGTTTGAATAAACAAAAGGCAAAACAGAAGTTATGCAAAATAAACTGGGAAAGTGATGTGCATGCAAATGAGTCAACCACATCCGCCCACAAGCCGTACGTTTATGCATTATTAGCATACGCAAGCAACGGTGGGTAGACAGGAGACAGTAGAATGCAGCCACAAATACCCGCTCAGCATCTTCCTCTGCTGTTACCTGTTAGCTGAGGTGTGAGTGGGCTTTAAACCTCCCCTCACTGTTGACATGTCACTTTCCTGCAACATTACTCATGACTAGACACACTGCTGGCTACATCTACAGAGCAAGGACTGTGGGTGAATGAAGCGAGCACTCAGGTGGCAAAAAGCAGCCCGCCAGCAGAGTTTGCATCTGGTTGCTCAGTTTTTTGCTGTTATCACACAGACTGTTTAAAATAGATTATAATACCAGGGGGCGTGATTACAGGATGTAATGAAGCCCCCATGTCTCCAAGATCCAAACTGGCCACTAATTAAAAACACTTTACTTTTTGTGAATTTTATCTTCTTTCCTCCACGAAACAAACTGTTAAACCAAAAATAACAGGCTTAGATGTTTGTTATTTTCTTCTACTTTATGAATCAAAGCCTTTGCAAAAAACAGTTTTGTCACAATGTGGGTTTCTGTTTAAAACTAAAAGGTCTTGAAAGAGGAGACAAACAAGAGAAACAGTGCAGCATCACTATCAAATTTAGCCATCCTTGTTTCCCATAAAACGGTAGAAAAGAAACTTCTAAAATGATTTCAAAAGAAAATTCTGCTCAGACAAACCTAATGAAAAAGCATCTTGCCTTTAAGATCATAACCAAACATTAACTTTAATAAGCAAATAATGAAAGATGATGCAACAGTTTTACTACAATATACTATGATTGAATACATCCAACTTTTGAAAGTCAATTATTTTCATGAACTATAACTTTCTATAGACAATTATTTACATTAATGTATTTCTATAAGGATTAATAAATCCAACTTTCTCTTTGCTGAAGTAATAAAAAAAGTTTCAGTATTTTACAAAAACCGTATTTACGTATATTATCTTTTGATTATTTTAAAATCCCAACCATTATATTAGAATTATTTAAGCTAATTAACTTATAATCTTCACTCATATTTATTGTATTTTTAATTAAGGTTATGTATACTGGTAATTATGAAATAAAATTAATTTTTGTCAGAAAAAGTCATTATAAAGGAAACTGCACTTCCCTTACAAACGGTACGTATTATTTGTTTAAATCAGATTTCCTAATCCTAACATGGAGGAAAACATACATTTACTCAGACTTTGCTTTAAAAACTGGAAGCATTTGCTCAGTGATCAGGAGCTTATGCATATGCAGCGATGCAGTCCTTCCCCCACATCACTAACAAGAGTCTTACTGCAGTTATCCCCTCAAATACCTTGTTAGCACTTTATTTGCAACACACACCCCGTATTGGAGACTGAACTTCACTCTGCAGATTATGAGGGTCAGAAGATCAGGATTTAATTGCCTTTGAGACTGATGCACTTTTCAGCCTGCAGATTCAACACGCATTTTGTCAGGAAACTACTCCTTAAATCACCATGTATGAACTTTTCATCCTGATTATAAAACATCCCACCTCCTGTTAACTCAACCCGGTGACCCTCACAGAGTCAGCAGGAAATAATGCATCAGGCTCATGTAGCTTTCTGTTCCAGTATCATCCTGCAGCAGTGCACATAAGCAATGAATAATCATAGAAGCAGTTTTATTTAAAACACTCTGAACTACTATCAGCGCACACTTTGAATTTTCTATATGTGCAGAAACATTACCACCAGACCCCAACATAGGACTAGCATAAATTCATGCTCCTTCTCTGTGCTCTCTTGCTTTTTAAGCGGCTATAGATCCTCTCCTCAGACCGTTTGAGAGTGGAACCAACCTAAAAAACTAAACTGCCTGTTATGGGCTACCTTTCAGGAAATCTTGCAAGCATAAAAAATACTCAAAATACACAAAAGAGTAGTGTTCATGTGTGTGTTTTACATAAAACTGCAGTTTTTATAGCCTATGAACACGTTTGGCAGAATTCTGACCTCATAGACAAAGACATGTTTTTTGGTTCTTCAAACATTTTCTACATTCCTCTGAGCATTTTCATACCTGTATGAGCTCCTGCTGCTCCAGCTCCCATTTCTTGATGCCGTTGTCTCGCGAGCCGCTGAACAGTACGTCTCCTTGAACGGCCAAACATTCAATGCCGTCGTAGTGCGGAGGCTCAAAATTATGAGCGGGACCGATGTTACCCAGAGTTCCTTCGGCCACATCGAATATCTGCGGAAAAAAACAAACAAACAACGAAGCATGATCATATTAATTGCATGTAGGATCTTTAAATTGTTTGCTTTTCTAAAATACACCTTTTTCATCCACCCTTTCTTAATGGTACCAGAACAAACTACAATACAAGTGTGGTCTACACCAATGACTCTAATATCAGAAAATAAAATCCAATATTTATAACAGAACATTTGTTAATGGAGACCCAGGAACACAGCAGAAAGCTTACATTTTTGGTCTCCCAAATTACTCTGAACACACCATGGTTATACCATGTTGGTGGCAGCACAGCTTAAAGGAATAGTATACCCAAAACATGATTAGCCTTCATTTTCTACTCACCCCTATGCTGAACAACACTCTGGAGTACTTTTTTGATATCTCAAATGCATCTGGAGATCTGGGAGGCTTCTTGCCGTCTGCTGACATTCAAATAATGGAGGTCTATGGTGCCCGAGGCAGAAAGGTCCATAAAAGTCCACAAAAAACGTGTCAATATTCCTCCATACTGCTCGTCCAATGTATTCCAAGTGTCCTGAGTGGGTAGCATCCAGACTTTACTCGAAACGAAGTCATTTAGAATATTTTTAGAGCATAAACAGTAGTGTATAGGATTTCCTGAAAGCGCGCGCCCGCACGTTCACGACGCTACGGAAGCCGGCAGACCAACCAGATGAAAGTGCGCATTCAGCGTCTGCTCTGCCGATAATGCAAGCGTAGAAGAAGAAATGTGCTGTTTACCTGTGCAAAGAAAGAAACAACGAAAGAAAAATGTCTGAGGACTTCAGTGTTGAGGAAGAGCATGAGTTCTTTGCCGAGCTGAATGCGCACTTTCATCCGGTTTCCGTAGCGTCGTGAACGTGCAGGCGCGCGCTTTCAGGAAATCCTATACACTACTGTTTATGCTCTAAAAACATTCTAAATGACTTCGTTTCGAGTAAATTCTGGATGCTACCCACTCAGGACACTTGAAATACATTTGACGAGCAGTATGGAGGAATATTGACATGTTTTTGTGGACTTTTATGGACCTTTCTGTCTCGGGCACCGTAGACCTCCATTATTTGAATGTCAGCAGATAGCAAGAAGTCTCCCAGATCTCCAGATGCATTTGAGATATCAAAAAAGTACTCCAGAGTGTTGTTCAGCATGGGGTGAGTAAAAAATGAAGGCTAATCATGTTTTGGGTGTACTATTCCTTTAAAGAACGCTTTTCTTTAGTAGGGGAAAGGGAAGCAGGTCAAATTTAACGGGAGGATGCAGGAAGAAAAATACATGTCAAACATGAATATGTTGGTGAAGATTCTCAGTCATCCAGGTCATAGTTGTTCCAAAAAAAAAAAAAATCCACTGGACTTTGTTTCCAAGTTTGAAGACGTTTCACTTCCCATTAAGGAAGCTTATTTAATTCAAAATGTCAGATTAAGCGTTGAGTTTGGGGCTTTATAGAGAGGACCAAAAACAAAGTGTTGTTTTGGATAAGAAATCATGTAAATTGAACCGGACAAACGGGTCCGCCCCTTAGGAATGGGGGTCATTTGGGTTTGTTGTGAGCCTTCAAGACCCGACACCTGTCTATGTCTCTGAAAGGGGAGCCGATAGAGGGAATTGTTGGCCTTGCTGAACAGGGTTAGGGAAGCGAAACGTCTTCACACGTGGAAACAAAGTCCAGTGGATTGCTTTTTTACTTTTTTGAAAGTCAAACATGAATGATCGGGAGTTGGCTCTAGCACTGTTTAATGGCAATAAGAATGAAGAATAAACTTTTGGTTCTATTTGTAAATATAAGTACTTGATCAACTCCTGAAGTTATCAGCTAAATAGCGCAATTGAGCTGTGCTACGTGGAGGAGCAGCTTGGAGTACTCTAACCCATTTAAAGCAGCAGATAGCCTGACAGCATATGAGAGCGACATACCCCGTCTATTAATGATAGTTTTACTTCTCTGTGCAGTGGAAACTGTAGGCAATTCACATATTTTATTCTTTTATAGATTACATATTACAAATATGCTGTGTAAAAACATTTTTGTTTACTTATTCAGTATTTAATACAGCTGGCACAATAAATTATTAAAATATAATGATGACTATCTTTTGTTTTTTATTCAGCACATTCGTGTGGATTGATCTTCCTGTTAAAAGCGGAAACCCATCTTTTTAGGAAAGTGGCCGTTTCTCAATTAATTATTGGTCGATTGATAAGATCAATCAACTTAGGATTAATTTATTTATGGATAATTTGCATCACTGGTTTAAAATGGTCCGGCTCTAAAACGAAATAAGGAATCTGACTTATCAGATTTCTACTGTTTATAGATGCTCTCATTAAAAACATACCTAGAAAGTTAACTAGCTGTGTTTTCAGGGAAATGTCTAGATATTCACTGGAGCTGAAAACAAAAGCATGCAACAATTCTTTATTTGGCTGAAAAAACAACATGCATCATAAATTCCAATATTTTCCTTTTTTTCTGAGGCTTGACAAAACTGTCAATGTGTGAATAGGCGATATGTACCTTGACATAATGGTCTTTGGAGCCAGTGATGACTTGGTCTTTGCCCAGCAGAGACTGTCCCACAGTCAGACACATGACAGATCCAATGTGGCCCGTTAGCTTGCCTGTCCCCTGCATCCTGCTTACAGACAAAGAACAGGGTGGTCAGAAAGGGAAACAAAGGTCTGTGAAGTTCATTACAAACATGTAGAAATTTAAAGTTTCCTGTGTCACCAAATAAAGATATGTTCCCTTTCTTGGTAGATGTTAAACTATTGGGAAACACTGATGCCTAAAGCAGAGAATGAAGCAATACTTCAATTCTTGGTGGGTTGTTACACATCATTAAATAGCTGGGAGCCCCTCAGCGCAAACTCTCTACTGCAATCTGTTGATCCTTTAACATTAGAAGCATAAATTAAAGAAGTAAATAAGGCCTTACTAAAAGAGGTTCTTCATGGAAAATGCATACAGGGTTCATGGATGAATGTTGGACAGACTGATGAATGATGGATAAACGGACAAATGTGTGAAGGATAGAATTGGTGGATAAATGACGGACAAACAGATGGATGAATGCTGGACATATGGACTGATAGATGCATTCTAAGTCAAATTGAAAGACAGATGACAGATGAACGGACGGATGGATGGATGGATAGATGACAGCTAGGAAACTTTAAAACATCAGGATGTAGAACTTCTAAAGGAAAAGCAAACATTTTGTCACTCTGTTTTCTTTTTTCACTTTTATGCAAACCTTGAAAATCCAGATTTTTAAACCTTTTTAGCCCCGAGTAGAAACCTTCATATCACCATAAAGTTCTGTTCTTCATATGAAGTCAGAAGTGCAGGCGTGTAATAAATACTTAAAGGGACAGTTTATTTTTAAAACTATTTAACACACCCAAGTAAGCTACTCTCCACAAGCATTTTAATATTTTAATATTTGACCCTATAAGCTCCCTAATATATCACAGCCATTAATTCATGCGCCTTCTCTGCTCTCTCTTGCTTTTATGCTCTTATAGATTCTCTCTGACTCGTCTGTTTTCACCTATTTCTGTGCACTCATCTTAACTTCTGTTAGTTTGAGGGTGGAAGCAACATGTGAAAGTAAACTGGCTGTGATTGGCTACTTTTAAGGAAATCCTGAAGTCTCTTTAGAAAGTAATGTTTTCTCCGTAGTTGTGGTGTAGGTAGCAAATCTGCTCTGGGCCCTGCCCCTTCTAAAGACATCACAAAGCAGCAAAGGCACTTGCATGAACTGTATTGACAATCACATCTTGTTCAGGGTCTCAGTTTATCATTACCTATATTTGCTATTATTTTACATTTCCTTTGTTGACCTCAAGTAGATGAAAGTAGAAAAAAAATATTCTCAGCCTTTAAGTTCTGCGTTTTAAGACAGGCTGAGCTGTGCCATTTTACAAGGTGGAACAAAAATTTTCATTATCTCTTTTATTAAGATCCGAAGGCCAGGAAGGACAGGTGGAACATCTTGAAGTCGTAGGGAAGCGGCTGTTCCAACCACAGCGAATGCGATTGGTCATTTATCAAGGGGGCGGGATTGTTGTGGTGGAAGGTTCGCAAGCAAGTTTGGTTGTGGCCGGTTTGTCAGAAGCATCTTGTCAACCAGTTAGCAACTTAGTGCTAGTAGGATCCCAATGGGAAATTCCATTGGGACCAAGTAGCACTAAATTGGTGACTTAGAAATGACACTGTCAAGGAACGCTATGGACAGCGGAAACATGCAAGAGGAGGAGAGTTGTGTGTAACTTAACAGCGCATCCACTTTCCAAAAATGAAGAGGACGTTCGTTATCAGAACCGGTCTCAGCTGCTTTGTGTTACAGTGAGTGTGTTAATCAGTTCATTTGATTTGCATTGGGCTGATCATTGTGATAAATGTTTGGTTCATGCCCAGGTTAGTAAAAACAAAAAAAGGGGCTTTGATGTGTTTGTTTAAAGATGAGGACCGGAAATATAACATAAACCAAGCTAATCAACAAAAAGTAAGACAGACTATTGGCTGCAGCTGTGATGATTCGTCTATGAGCTGGAAATCTCCCCAGATTGGATCTCAGAAATCTGGTCACCTTAGATTTGGACCACCTGTCCCTGGATAAACCTGTCCCCAGATTTCAGATGGATTGCGAGGGCTTTCATTCGATTGCATTCAAGTCAATGAGTCGATGCAATCAACTGGTTTTCCTTAGATAGAAAACTTTGAATTAATTTGACTGGATGATCTGGTGAACTGGAAAGTGCATTGAAATGACGTGTTGTGAATTGGCGCTATAGAAATAAACTGACTTGAATTGACCGACCCCTAGAATCATAGACAGGTTCAGATATTACAGGCTAACGATGGAACTAAACGACCCATTCATCGGTTACCATTGCATGTTTCCAAGCAATACAAGGCCTTGTCCATATAAGACTCAAACTCACTGCGGATCCAGACATTTGAATTGAGAAACCTTCCTGGAGAGGTGGCGAAACGTCTTCAAATCTTGAAAACCAAGTCCAGTGGATATTTTTTCAATTTTTACGGAATGACTTGAATTGAATTTCACCCTTTTATGAATGAGGGGAAAATGTTTGTTGTTAACTTGTGTTATGGTAGAAAAGGCATGTGAGCATAGTGCATGCAGAAACGGCTGCTATGGTAGCTGGTTCCGATTCTGTAAAGATGAGCAGCAGCACTTCAGCTTCATCGTCACAGCCGGCCGCAACTGATGAGGAGGTGCCCTGCGTTATGATAAGAGTAACTGATTCATTTTTATTTTAGTTAAATATGTGGCTGATCCTTCTGACAAATGTCGGTTTTGTGCCCAGATGAATAAAAAAAAACAAAAAAACATAGGACTTTAATCTGTATTGCTTTACTAAAGATGAGGACCCAAAATGTAACATAAACCCAGCTAATTAACAAAAAGTAAGACAGACCATTGGCTGCAACTGGTACGAGTAAAAGAGACTCGGATACAACATAAAAAGATGATTGAAAACTCCTGTAGTGCTCCTGTAGTGCTAATCTGGTACGGTGGTTCTCCAGGGATCAACAAAGGTTCGCCTAAAGACTTTTAGAACTGATTAGTGAACTTTGGTTTGTATTTTTAGGTAGTTGTTCATTATAAATAGAGTTTAATAAGTTGTTTTGCTGATTTATGGTTGTGAACTATGAGCATAGACATAGATGTGTAACAGGAACACTAAATGAGACAAGAGAATGATTGTGTAAGAGTTAACCACCTGCTCAGTGTTGATTTATTATCCTGTTTTTGCTTGAAGCTTCAAATATTGTGATAATATTTTTAGTATTTAATCAGGTCAGATGATTATAATAAAGGTAACACTCAATAAGAATAATAATATGCTTGATGAGATTATTCCAGAATAACCCCAGTATCTCATCTAAAAATAACAAACGTTCAACAGATGTTTGGAACAAAATCTGTTCTTACCTATTAAATTGTAAGTTTTTATGCTTTACATTGTAATGTTTTTGAATGGCTTGTGAAAATTTTACGTCTCTGTTTAAGAATAGTGTAAGATTGATACAACAGGAGAGAGGAAGAAGATAGGAAGAGTGATAGAACGAAAGAAGTTGAATGAGAGTGGAGGGAAGTAGGAACACTGATGGAAACAACAGTAGATGAGAAGGAAGGAAAATCCACTTAGAAGAGTAAAACAGAGAGCAGGCAGAAGTCAGAAGAGGGCTAGAAAGAAAACAACCTGAGTAACCAGCCAGACACATCTGGATTACTCAGCTTGTCCATTAATGAAAGACAGGAAACAACGGAGCTGCTGAACTTCAGGAAGTAGTGGAGCTGTGCATAGAGTCCATTAGTGGGAGAAATTAATCTGCTTCTTTGAGATGCACAGGCCCCTTTTATTTATGGATTCAATAAATAAATATAAAAAAAAGAGAATATGTTGTATATGTGTAAATGATACTTCAATGTACCTGTTGAGGTCCCACATACGAACAATATTCCCAGCCGCAGCATAGAGCACAGATCCTGACGGGTTGAGCGCTATCTGGTTGATCTGACATTCGCCCTGAGCAAAGGTGATTGTCCGGGTGGTTGTTCCAGCACAAGCGTCTCCTGAAACCACTTGCCCCGATGATCTGTCATTAGGTAAAGTGAGGCCAGGCAGAAAAGAAAAACCAAAGAAATATATATAAAAATGAGAGAAATGGTTAGCAGCCGTCATTTTCTCTAAAAGCACTTCAAGGTTTAATTTGTCACTTTAATGCAACCTGAAGCACATCGCAGAAGGAAAAAAAAGCACATTTGAACAGGATAATTTTCTGAAATGTTTCATAAAACCGCCAAATGGTCCCATCAGGCTGATTTTAGGAAGAAATACTTACGTGAGCGTGCGAATGCACTTGGCAGAGTCACGGATGTCCCACACCTTGATGTACGAGGTGGAGACAGAGAAGACCAGACCGGAAGAGGGGCAATATTTTACAGACACCACATTGTTTGGGTGGCCTTTCAGGGTGGCGATCTCCTGACCTGTGACCAGATTCCACATCTTACAGGTGCGATCTGGAGGAGAAAATGCAAAGAGTTAAATTAGGGTTGGAAATCTGTTTCTGTCTGTCCATCTGTCCATGCTTTAGTTTCTCTGACATTAAAACGGTATCCTGCTCTTCAGCTTTCACTTAGAATAAAAAAGAATAACCATAATACCTGAGACATTTAGTGTTAATCTGCAAAGTAATGCTGACTACTTTCTACTATTGCAAATAGGCTGATCAAATATCCTCACTTGCAGCAGTTTCAAATAGGTTGTAAGGATAATAAGGAAAGCAAAGATGTGCTGCAACACATGTGCACCAACCAGGACGCCTGCAAGCTTAAAAGCAGGGAATCTTGGCAGATATATGATATGCCGATATTTTTATTTAAAAATTCAACTGTAAATTGCAGTTTAATTTTTGCTTTCTGTAAGTTAAAAACAAAAAAACACACCACTATCATTTTACTTCGACATCTCCTGTGGAAGACTTGTGCATCTGTTAGGCGTGTGAGCTGTGATGCTGCAGGTATAATCCTCACTTGCTCGTGACAAAAAAAAATAAAATAAAATAGCCAACACACATGAAAGAATCAGACTCCATCCTCTTTTTGGATGAAAGCAAATGTTGCATTTAACTTTGATATGAGGGTCCAATAGTCTGAGAAGTGGAAAGGCCCAGAGCCCAAGCTGACTAAAGATACACGGTCACCTTATATGCCTATATCAAAAAGTGATTAATTGACTTTATTGATCTGACAGTGGAGAAATTCACTCGTTACATATAAAGAACAAAACCAAGTTAATCGTGATAAAATAAGGTTACACAGTTCAGCAGTCCATCCTGATAGTGTTTAGATTTTTCTTTTTGAGGCTAAATAGAACTCCAACACTGGGCGTAATAAGCTGACAAACATATTTGGCGCCAGCTACAGGCCGCTTAACTACCAAAAATCCAGATGATGGCCATTGATGCAACTGCCAAATAAGTCCAGACGTGTAATGACACATCTATCAACTTGCATCAGAATACTTCCTGACCTTTAGCTCCAGCTTTAGCGAACTCCAACCAGAGAGAGTAACTTGCATATACTATATTATAATGTCAAATAACATGACTACACACCATTAAGTTACAGTGAGTCTGATAGTGTTGCAAAAAGTCAAAAGAGGTAATAATCAGGACGTCTTAGATCACTCAAAGCATCTCCAGCCTTCAAGGAAATGCTAATTCGTCTACAAGATGTCACTGCATTTGTGCGTCATTGAGAGCTAATGTGTACCTTTAGATCCAGTGAAAAGCAGCTCGTCCGTGGCGTCCACACACAGAACCGGCTTGGAGTGGCCCTCAGCTACAGAAACACACTGCAGGGGGGCTGTCCGACCCCCCTTCACCCCCCCGATAGGATTGATCACACCCCTAGATGACAAAAAGGCAGACACGGCATCAGATTCTGCTCAGTTTAAATCAGGAAATCGTGTATCTCCTTTAGTTTGAAAAAGGGTTTTACAATGAAAGAAAACAGGCTCAGTGTGAACATGCAGACCAAAAAAAACAAGAAGAAAAAAAAACACAAACCTTTCTTGTAAGCAATAAAAAAATCATGACATTTCAAGCACATAAGTATTTTCTTGGATGTGACAGACGACACAATAAAGCACATGATTGCTGAGTAAAAAACATTATTAGTGGTTTTATTTGATATTTTATGGGTGCATATGTAAACTATGTAGCATGCTTTACTATATTTAGCCCTCTTTACTCTAATGCTCCAAACATTACAACAAGATGCTTAAGAGGTTAACCAATTAGTGGCACAAATACAAATTTACAAAGGCATGGGCGTCCATCTACATCAGAGGTCTGCAACCTGTGGCTATAGAGCCACAAGTGGTTCTCAATAAATGAGAAGGAACAAATAAACTTATCCGTTTCAGCACCATTTCAGTATTTTATAGAATAACTGCAACAGAATACCACTAAAAGGTAGGAGGGTAGTAGGGTCACTAAATGAAAGAAAAAGAAGAGACACGTCTGCCAGAAAGCTCTTTGAGATGAACTGGCATTCCTGCATATACCACCTAGAAGTGTGTTTCGTAAAAGTACCACTTAAATCTCAGAGGAGATATGGCTTTTTCTGTAAATATTTCCTTTTTAAAATCTCAGCAAATTTTGTTAGTTTTCATATGTTTCTTGATTATATCTGACTTACTGAGTGGCAGACAAAAGCTTAGTTTAAAGGAAAATTCTGGTCATATTCAGAATTCAAAATTCTGAAAGTACTTTAAATAGAAAATTATTACATACTGTATAATAAATTAAAAGTGTTTTGAATTGAGAGTAATTTTTATTTTACGTGCTTTACTGGAGGCATCCACGTTCGTCAAAGAACACTACTGCCACCTACCGGTTTGTGACGTCACGGTGCGGTATCGGCTGTTGATCAAGTCCCAGTGCTATTATCCATGTCATCTTGAAAACATTCTTACAAATGTTGGCTACATATTACATGTTTTTTCTCTGGCCAGAAGTTCAATGGCAAATCCTCCCTCTTTAAGTTGGGAATCCAACATGGTGAATCATTAATCGGAAAGGTTTCACTTTTACCTGATGTATTCCAACATCCAACTGCTATGCACGTGGGCATTGTCAGTTTAACTCTACCTCTTGTGAATTTCAATGATGAAGTCCTCTCAAAATTTTTTATAATTTTTGATAGCAAATGTGTCTAGTAGTTCCCATTGATTTTGCTTGTAGAGCAGGAAGATTGGCCCTAGGCTTACCGCACCGTGACGTTAGGAGTGATGTGTTACTATGTTTGGGCAAAAATGGCCACTCCTGGACTCCGTGATCGCAACGAAAAGTATTTTTTACTGATTAACCCTAAATTCATTAAATCACCACGAACGTATCAGTTTTAGGTATAGATAATGATCCATTGATCATTCCTTGCTGACCGGACTTCTCCTTTAAATTATGGATTTTTTCTGCCTTTAATCTGGGAAATTTTTTTTTTTTTGCCAAAAATTCATTTTTCCCTTTTTTTCCTTTTAATTTCGAATGACCATTGTGCCCTGTAGTGATAAGGAACAAATAGTATATTTTTAAATCTCTTTCTTTTAACTAGGTTGAAAACTTTTCTCTTCTCATGAATATCAAAATCTCATGAAAATAATCCATCTTTGTTTTGCTTTATCTTTAGTTTAAAAAAAAACATTAGAACCGTTTTTATCAAAAAATGACAACAAATTTCCTAACTATATATTTATCAAAAAAAGGTTTATTTTTTGAAGGTCGTGTAAATTTTATTCAGTTAGACTTGGGGCAAATATAGTGTAAAAAGTTTGCAGACCCCTAATTTAAGCTGACAGGCTGTACAAGGAGGCAATCACAAACAGCCCATAGTTCCTCTTAAAAGGGGCTGCAGTATTCGCCGCTCAGGTAGACAGATGTGAGAACATGACAGCTGTCAATCATGCTCTCATAAATCTGACTGAGGGGTAAAAGAAAGGGCATTGGTGCAAGTCCTCTGAGGTTAGAAGGAGGTTTAATGTGGTCAGGAAAGACGTGTAAAATATGCTTATAGGCTTTATGAGACCTGTGAATGGGGCAGAGTTTTCCCACTTAGAGGAAAATCATGTTAAAATGGCCTAGTTAAAGTCCAGACTTAAATCCTATTGAGGACTTTTTGCTGTTGTTATTGGAGACATCAACAACACAACTACAAAGCTAAGAAGAATAGGCAAAAATCATCCATCTACTTGTGAAAAGATTATGAAAATATAACCCTAAAGACTGTAAGAGCAGAAAAAGACGTTTGTACCAAATTTTATCTGCAACACCTTCCTTGAATCAGCTGTCGGCGGAGCTGACAGTGCCATTAAATATAAACTCTTTCTCTATGGAGGATGCAGTGATCTCCCCCCCCACCACCACCACCATCCTTCTTCCCATCGATTGTACGACACAGAGCAAACTGCTTAGGTTTATTTCTGTCCGAGTACTTTTTCTTCACTACCTGAGAAGAGTTTCAGTGTTTTTGTGACGTCTGATTAGTCTTTACAAACCCCAGCTGGCTACAGCAGATCGTCCTTCACTGACCGAGAGGTTTCTATCTGTAAAAAGACAGTCTTCCCTTTCCTGTCGCTATAACCAAGTGACTCAATGCAAATGACTGGGCTAAAAAAAATGACCAGTTAAAGTAAGGAACTAAATTTGATTGCGGTGTTTTATAACTACAATTAAAAATAAACGGATTGGGAATTTCTCCATAGGCTTACTGGATAATTTTCTGCATTCAGAGGAGCCCAATTAACTCACCACAGCGGCAATGAGCTGTTCCCTTATTTTCTTGTCAGTTTCTCTCCTCTTCCTCATAAACCGCCTTACACAAGCACATGTAGATTGAGCACCCAGGGTGTAGAGATGGACCTCCTCAACCTCCCCCCCTTTCCCAATCTATGTGCCTTTGACAGGCCAGAGTCCCAAAACGCCTGGAGAGCACTCGTCAGAAAGAGACAGAGCAGAAGGAGGGTGAGAGGAAGAGGGAGAGTTGTGGAAAAAATTGGTCCCTGGTGGGCTTCACGGGTAGTAGGTTACACACAAGTGAGGGTGCATGAATGTGAGAGTGTGTGAGAGGATATGCAAAAGATATATAACCAGAAGATAGATAACCAGAGGATGTGTGAAAGTAAAAGAAAGCTGCGACTTGCACACCGAAAGACGCTGAACAGATTTGTTTCTACACAAACACCGTTCGCCGTGTCAAGGACAACATGCTCCACTCTACTAGTGCAAACGGATGTGAGGAGAACACAATTCATATTAAAAACATGAAAGCATACATCCCATATATTGCACAAAGCATAAAAAATGGCCAGCCATCTAAAAAAAAAAAAAGCATACATGCAACGTCTGCCAAGTTTCACAAAACACAAAAACCCAACTTATTAAAACAGCATAGGCTCAGAGCTAATTGCTAAAAAATGTCACGGCTGAATGGAAAACTCCAGGGACAACAGACTCCGTCTTGGGATCCTGGAATGACCGCACAGCCACACAAAATCCACTGCAAGCTGGAGATTTTTATCACCCAAATCAGGAGGGAGAGTGTGAGTTCTTCCACACTGAAATGCCTTCAGGGACCCGGAGAGAAGGCCATGTGCACATATAGGTTAGATGGAGGCAGGTTATTCACTTAGCAGCTTCTCCAGGCGTTACAGCCTGTTGTATGGAGCCATGGAAAACTTGCTTCGGACTTCCCTCCTCCCATTCAAAGTATTTCAGATTAAACAATTCTGTGCTACTAAACTCATTTAGGTAATTCTGTTTTGTTTTTTTTTTTAAGTTTATAGACTGAATGTTGTATATTTTTTAAAATTTGAAGCTGAGGAAATGTGTGATGGGATTCAATAGAAAGGAAAAGGGATGAAAGAAAAGAGGGATTTGGGATCAGGGCTGAGTGGCAATAACCAACCAACCAGCTAGGTGATCTAAATTATTATTATTTTAATGTAATATTCTAATCTGAGAAGATTCTTTTTTATATCAGTGTTATGAGACTAAACTATTTTATCTTTGGTACAAACTGACGCCAGGCTTCCTCCTTAATGCAGCCCTCCTTATCTTACTACAGAGCGACACTTCGAATGGCAGAAATAGTTCCTGTTTTATCAGCGTCTAAGGGCAAGATATCATGGTCCTCTGTGTTATGCACTCTGTGAGAGCTGCTAATGGATGTTGCAGGGCTGAGACCCAAGAGACCAGCACTAATGAAAACATGGAGGGAGATCAGCGTGTGCTCGCTGACGTACATAGCAAAATGGGCAGAGGGATCTTAGGGAAGGTGCAGTGATTTCTCTTTGCAAGTGTGCTAGATCAGATTAAAGGAATAGTACACCCAAAACATGATTAGCCTTCATTTTCTACTCACCCCCATGCTGAACAACACTCTGGAGTACTTTTTTGATATCTCAAATGCATCTGGAGATCTGGGAGGCTTCTTGCTGTCTGCTGACATTCAAATAATGGAGGTCTATGGTGACCGAGACAGAAAGGTCCATAAAAGTCCACAAAAAACGTGTCAATATTCCTCCATACTGCTCGTCCAATGTATTCCAAGTGTCCTGAGTGGGTAGCATCCAGAATTTACTCGAAATGAAGTCATTTAGAATGTTTTTAGAGCATAAACAGTAGTGTATAGGATTTCCTGAAAGCGCGCACATGCGCGATCACGAGGCTGCGGAAGCCGGCAGACCAAACCAGATGAAAGTGCGCATTCAGCGTCTGCTCTGCCAATAATGCAAGCGTAGAAGAAGAAATGTACCGTTTACCTGTGCAAAGAAAGAAACAACGAAAGAAAAATGTCTGAGGACTTCAGTGTTGAGGAAGAGCATGAGTTCTTTGCCGAGCTGAATGCGCTGGTTTGGTCTGACGGCTTCCGTAGCGTCGGGATCGCGCAGGTGCGCGCTTTCAGGAAATCCTATACACTACTGTTTATGCTCTAAAAATATTCTAAATGACTTTGTTTCGAGTAAATTCTGGATGCTACCCACTCAGGAAACTTGGAATACATTGGACGAGCAGTATGGAGGAATATTGAAACGTTTTTTGTGGACTTTTATGGACCTTTCTGCCTCGTGCGCTGGGCACCTCCATTATTTGAATGTCAGCAGACAGCAAGAAACCTCCCAGATCTCCAGATTCATTTGAGATATCAAAAAAGTACTCCAAAGTGTTGTTCAGCATGGGGGTGAGTAGAAAATGAAGGCTAATCATGTTTTGGGTGTACTATTCCTTTAAAAATAGAAATCAATATCTGGTGGATCAATATTCCTGTTCTTTAAAATGAGCCAGATAGCAGTGCTAAGATTATCTAAACACCCTGCATCCCAACAGGAAATGTCTGTTTTAATTAACATTCTGTTAAAATGAACAACTTTCAAAAATATGAGAGAAAACTGGACTTTTGTGATTGAAAGCACAAAGGCTACGTTCACAATGGAGACCTAAAAGTCGTAGGGAAGCAACTGTTCCAACCATTGCAGTTCCAAATTCTCCCGGGTGGTGTCCGACTTTACACAAGTGAAAAAAGTGAATCAATTGGTCATTTATCAAGGGGGCGGGATTGTTGTGGCAGAAGGTTTGTAAGCAAGTTTGATTGTGGCTGGTTTCTTGGAAGCATCTTGCTAACCAGTTAGCAACTTTGTGCTAGTAGGTTCCCAATGGGAAATTCCATTGGGACCAAGTAGCACTAAATTGGTGACTTAGAAACGACACAGTCAAGGAAAGCTATGGACAGCGGAAACATGCAAGAGGAGGAGAGTTTTGTGTCGGAGGTTGTGGATGAGTCTCCTCCGTCATCCATTTTTTATTTAGAGGAGGAAAGCGGGGATGAAGATGTTGTGGAAGAGGACGCCAGGGCGGCAGAAGCTTGGTTTGGTGTAGAAGGCTTATAGCCGTACATGTTTGAGCCCTTGCCTCGTAACGTTGCCAGTTCTGTAGCTCTACGCCTGCTGAAGACACAGACGTCCATCCCCGTGAACACTAGGATGGAACTCAATGGGAAAGTTAATTATTCTTATTTCAACTGCTGCGTATATTAGCTGCAACATATGAATCAAGATGCTATGACCGGAAAAATTAGATTGACAGATAACCGTTTATATATGATTGGCCGAATTTAGGTGTACAAGCTGACTTATAACTAACAGGCCTGCATAAGATACAGATTTTAAGACAGGATTGTTTTTAAAATATAAATTTTCCAAATTTCAGGTAAAACACAACATTGACAAGTTTGTCCCCTTTCAACTACTCTGATCAAACATGCAGACGCAACATGGTGTCTCTGATTAGGTGAACTGTCCTCCAAGTATCTCTATTCCAAGCTATGAGAGTGCTTTCATTTTTGAAGTGATGTTATTAAACGTATCCAGCTTTTTATTGTCATTACACTGTCACAAGTACAGAGCAATGAACTCTCTGCGTTTAACCCACCCCCTTGGGGAGCAGTGAGCTGCCATTGCGCGGCACCCGGGGAGCAGTGTGGGGTTAAGGGTCTCTGAATTCCAAACGCAATGCCCTAATCACTAGCCTGCCACTCCTCCAACTAGCCCCATCACCCGGCAGAACCTTGACAAACAGCCATAAACATTATTCAAATGTTCCCAATTTTGTTATAGGGACTGCACTGTATTTTCTACTGTATACTAAAATGCTTTGACAGTTTGGCAGAAAACATCAAGGAATTGAGGCTTTATTTCTTTGGACATAAACCAGGGGAAAGCGCGCTCGCAGTCCCCCACTACCTCAAATTAACAGTCGAGATTCCCACATTTGGGGAATTCGCAAAGGTAAGCACAGCCGTAGTGCAATGGCCAAGCCTCTCTCTCTGGGTGAACCTCCTTCATGACCAAGGTATTGCCCCTGCAAGGTAAGTAACTTTTTACAGAAAATGTATTTATTAAAGCAAAATTTGTTTTTTGTTCATAATAAGACAACTATATTGCACACAGTCCCTTTAAAAATATTTTATAAAAACTAACTGCAAGTGTGTTTCTTCATATACCTTCTAATTCCCCACATTTATTGACAATTCTTATGAAAGCCTTGAAATAAATGTTATATGCTGAGTAGTGTAAATGCATGCAAAACATTTTAAATCTAACCTTTGAGCGTATTCTTCTTATTTGACTCAATAGCTTTTTCTAATAAATATAAAGGGCTTTTTTGTATCTCTGCTTCTGTCTCCTTGAATCCCAGTCGGCCTCGGCAGATGGCCGCTCACACCGAGTCTGGTTGTGGTGAAGGTGTCTTCCTGTTAAAAGGGAGTATTTCCTCTCCACTGTTGCTACAAGCACGCTTAGTGTGAGGGATTGCCTTTGAGTCAATGAGTCGATGCAATCAACTGGTTTTTCTTAGATAGAAAACTTTGAATCAATTTGACTGTATGATCGGTGAACTGTAAAGTGCCTTGAGATGACATGTGTTGTGAATTTGGCGCTATAGCAATAAACTGAATTAAAAAACATCAATAACAGAAAGCAGCAGAAAATAAAGACTGCAATTCTCCAAATATGTGAAACAGGATGTAAAAATATACCTTATACCTATTACTATGTTAGGTGGAGTTCTTTGTTACTGGGAGGACTGCATCTCCTCTAAAAGTCAATATAGTGCATGGCATTGTTCAGCTCTTATAACAACAATTAATGCAAATCTGGTACTTTTTTCCAGTAACTTGAAAATATCAATCAGTGGATCTCTGCAGGAAAATGATCCAAAATATACAGCCTGGATCCACACAGAAACTACAGGAAAAAAAGCAACCTTTCCCACTGGATTAAGAGAAGATGGACTGTGAGGGGACCTAGGTTTGTCTTGGGCTGGAAAGGTCAAAGATCCCCCGCTCTCCCCTCCGACCTTTTGTAATGTAATAAAAGCAGCCTATATTACAACGTATTGATTGAATGGATGTAAATATTTCTGTCCCTAGTGATTTAATCTAAAAAGATAAAATAAGATCAGTTAAGAGGAAATGTTCCGAAGTAATTAAAACTTCCTATTTTATGTAACAAGAGCGATTAAATAAACATCTGACTTTAAAAGTGTTTAACACATATTTATGCAAAAAAGTAAAAGTTATAAACCCTGTATGTGATCACCAGAAATAAAATTTTGTTTCCTTCTCAGCTCTTGTTCATACAAGTACTTCACAGTTGGAGATTTTCCCAGTTGGAATCCTGTGGAAATAATCTAAATGTGTTGCTTTGGCTGGGTGCACAGGAAGGCAGGACGTGTACATGATTTTATTTCAGCATGTGGAAGAGAGCAGTACAGGCTCCCTGCTTGAATGTATGCAAGACACCGATGAGTGAGAAGAAAGCAGCGTGCAGGTCTGCAGAGAGGATTAGCTGCCGACGTGTCACACGGCTCACTCCATCATCTTACTAGCCTCACAGACCAGGTACTTGTTGGAGGTAATCTACCATGAGATATCCTGCAGGAATGGTGGGAACACATGCTTTATATCTTGCACTATTTCTAGGTGATGTAATGAATCTTTTAGATATCATAACTGTGTTGATAAAGGCAAATGGCAGGTGAAAAAAGAAAATCATGTTCCTTTAAAAACTAAATGTCGACCCCTGCTGTTCATTAAGGAGAATGCATATTAAAGTCAGCTTACATTTTTAAGGTCTGAGGGTTTGCCATATTTTATTTTCAAAGTATAAGAAAATACAGTAAATTGATTATTTTTAAAGATATTGACCATTTAAGAGTTTGTTGGATAGTTGGCTCACAACTGAATAGATGGGTTTAGTTTTGTTTTAGTTTTTACATAGATCAAGTTAACAGTCCAACACAAAAAAATAAGAAATACACTGATAATACTGTTGTTTTTAATCTAGTGCTTGACAGCACAGCATTACTTTGATTCATAAATTTTAAGCCTTTTAATTAAAAATAAGCTAAAATCCCTATACTGTCATTCAGTTCTACAGGGTAACCAAATACAGGTGTTTTGCAGAGGCACCTTTAAATGCTTTTCAACAGCGAGGCAAAAAAAATGTAAAAAGTAGTTTGGTACTTAATGATCCTGCATGGGACCACAGAAACACAGCATGGCAAAGATAGAAAAGAGCTACCTATGGTTAATGCATGCATTTCACAGTGATTTCAACCATGGAGGACTTAAAGGGAGAGGCGGGAATGGAGACAAGACACCATACAAGTTAAACAGGCAAAAACAGGGAAAACAGCAAACAACAGACACGATTCCTCTACCTGAGCACCTCGGAGAGCGAGGAGTCGCTGTCATCCGACCTGGAGGCAGAAGAGGAGCGAGGAGAAGGCGGGAGGTGGGAAGAGGAAAGGGTTAACCACGTTGAGAAAAGACAGAAGGGTTAAATAATAGGAGTACAGACTAGTAGTAGAAAAGGGGTTCGGACATAAGTGGACAAAACAGGCAGGAAAGTTCAGTCAAAAATAAATCTTGTTCAGTAGGTTACGGCGGTTCGCCTTGGAAATAACTGAACAAAATATATTAATTGACCAATTTCAGTCCAGCCACACCAACACACATTCAGCAGACTTTTAAGCGGTGTTAAACATTAAGGGTTAAATCTTTGAAGTGAGACATTTGAGGAAATACAGTCATTTACTTTCTTGTCAAGAGCTGGGTAGAGAACAATCAAGCCATTTAGTTACAGCTAGTGTACATTTAGCAAAGCCCACAGCTAGTTAGGTTAGTATGGTGTCTGTAAATCAACTAAAATGTGTTGAATATACAGACTGTACTATAATGCTTATAAGCTTCAAAGTACAGGTGGAGTGTGAAATGCCGTTCTCAAACATTGAATCCACCATACTTTAGTCCCAGCAGGTCAAGCTAACAACTCTTTTATATAGAAGTGCCATATGGCGAAACAGTGTTGGAAACATTCAGCCTTATTGAGGTTTATTAAAACAGTCAGAGGAAGCACAGAGTAGAGGAGCTTTTCAAAGGGAAACTATTATTTATGCATATACATTTATGCATGTATTGTCGTTCATGCAGGAGAGGGAGGGATAGTTTCAGCATGTAACAGGAAGGCAAAAAAATATCTTCTAAAAAAGTTTTATCCTTTTGAGCCTTCTAATGGCTTTTAACATTCTGGATTTAGAAAGGAGGAATAACTTTTATTAAATTGTCTGAATTCAAATAGGACTTATGCCTAATTCCTCTACTTCATGAACTTATCCAACTCTAGAGTTACCTGTCTTTCATTAATGGACAGATTGATTAATCCAGGTGTGTCTGGCCTTTGTCATCACAGTTACTTAGGTCAGACACACCTGGATTAATCTGTCTGTCCAGTAACAAAAGACATGATACAAAGGAGCTGGCTGAGGTTAAGAGGTAGGGGAGGTTGGGCCATTCAATACATTTTCAGACATCCCAAGTCTCCCTGATATAGATAGTTGTTCACGGATGCCCACGAGCAGGATAAATTATCCAGATTTTAGACTATGCGAGGTGGTGTTTTTTTTAATGCGAGTGAGAGCGTGCAGCCAGTACAATAATTCGTGCATCATGTGCGGATTAGAACTACTGCGATTGCGCAGACACAACAAGAGAGAGCGGGGTGTGGGGAGGAGGTTCGATAAGCATTTTATTAAACCCATAGGGCAATTAATTGTTGTTGTTAGTCATAGTTTCTTCGACTTGTTATTATAGCTGTTAATTTCAATGGAAATCTGAGGAAAGGATTGATGTTATAACTGTTGGTCATGCTAACCGCTAAAGGATTTTTCTATAAAAAGACCACAATAAATCTGTCTTGAATTCATTAAAACCCTGGCATTTTAGATGAGTGTCCAAATATCTAGTGGATGATAATGTAGTGGACTCAAAATTTCCCACAATGCACCTTGAAAAACAGTGTGCAAGCATGGTCACTAAAGCAGCAAATAGATCCCACAATGCTTTGATATAAGCTCTCCTCCTGAAGCATGGGGGTGAGAGACAACAAAGATGCAGCAGAAACCATGCAGGGAGCTGGAGTCACATGATCAAAAAGTAGTGATCGCCTGTCCGAATGGTGAAATAACTGGGTTCACTATAAAGTCCATAATATATATATATATATATATATATATATACACACTGATTGAGGGGTTAGGGCAGATGTTCGGACACAACTGTTCAGCTATAGTCTTATAAAAAAGTTTCAAGAAAAAGCTATGGCAGCACTAAAAGCTTTAAGAAAATTAGATTTTAGAAATTCTCCACATAACTCTAAATAGTAGAACTGTGCTTTTAAAGATACTAACAGATGGACTGTCAAAAGCTTATTAAAGTTAAAGTCAAGCCAACCGCCACTGGCTGTTTACCTGCGTTAAGTAAACCGACATGATGGCTTTGGGTTGTCACTCTCGACTTTTTTGCTCTTGAAGAAAGCCAATAGTAGCATTTCCAAGAATGTCAAACTGTCAGTTGTAACGATATAAAAACTGAAGAGGATTATGGGTAGAAAAAAGAAGGTTCTCAAGGGAAGCACTGATGCAAAGTTAGTCTCACCAAAGGTCACAGAATAATTGTACTGTGTCTGACAATGAGGTCAGGATTACCTTTTAAACTGAAACTTGCAAATAATTTCAAGAAATTAGTAAAGAAATGCATATTGGATGGATAAAAGGGTTAACAGAACAAACATCCATACCACATTTAAACAGGTTCTGTTTAATTAATTATATTATAGGTGTATTAGAACATTCTGAGTGAACTACTATGGAAAATAATACTCTATAAGCTTATATTGGATCCTTTTAAACTTCTGCTATTGTGTCTTAAAGTTCTTCCAGATGGTTAAAATATCAATTTAACCCAAGTTTTTTTTTGAAGCCATATTAAAGAAAAAAAAAAAATCTTTCTGCATCTTACTGCAGTTTAAGGTTTAGAAAACATATTTAAGTTTTGTCAGACCACAAAAACCGATCCTCCTGCCTCCCTGCCTGTTGCTGTAGATTGCCATTCAGCTGGCTGAAGGCGTGTTACTAAACTAATGGTTACTGTTGCAACATTACATTATATTATTAAATATTAAACGCAATAAACTTTACTTTAAAACTACTTCAAAACGTATTAAAATTAATGTTTAAAGATTGATATATTTTGTTGTAATCTATATATTTGAATTGTTTAATTAGCAGTGGAAGCCATTCTTGTTTTTTGTAATGAATAACCGGGGAGTGGATATAGTGGATATCATTTTTACATTTTAAATGTCAATTAAATAAACTCAAGATCACCAGACAGTAACGCAGTGTATGATTTAACCAAACTCTAGGTTAAAGGAATCAGGAATCAGGAATCAGCAAAAGATCTTTAAAAATGCTTTGATTTTACCAACATACAGTAAAACTCAGTTTGATGGGATTAATAAAGTCAGTTTATCAATGATAAAACATAACAGAATTTTTTTCACTCTAGCATCACCAGGGGTTTAAAACCCATGTAAAACTTTTGATTCCAGTCTCATTCACTCACACAGGCAACAGACACAAACAAGAATAATTAAAATGGAAAGTAAAACTTTTTGAAAGGAATGTTTGAACCTGAAACATAAACGGCATCATTATCCCTGATTTTAATCAGGCAATTTTTAAATATACGATACATACATAAGGATGTATTATAACATAATGTTGGTGATGATAAACTGTTGGAGTTCAAAAAGTTACAGAAATGGGAGAAAAGCCAAAACCGACACATTAAAATAATTAATTTCAGCACAAAATATTCAACTCACTTTTCAGCCAACTGCACAAAACAGTGATTCAACAAACTAGTGGGGTTTGTTTTATGCTGGTTGACCAATGTAATTAAAAACATTAGGACCTCAACTTCAGGTTGCTTAACTGCACACAAAAAAACTCCTGGATAAAATCCAAATATGTTCAGATAAACTAATCTGAGTTCAGTTGCCATGATTCAGATGATAATTCACACAGACATTTGCTCTTCATTGCCTTCTAGAGAAGGCAATGAAGAGCAACACCACATTAGAGGGTAAATACACAACTCAATCCACGCTGCCACGTTGTGTTGTCTCAAAGTATTTTCCATGTCTTAACCTTACAACAAACCTTTAACATAAACACCCTCCATCAGCTTTTTAACCTCAAATGGCTTCTGTCAGCAACAGCTGCACGAGCGCAAGACATGTGCCATCCCATTTACCTACCCCTGGTCCAGATAATGAGGAGCCACAGGCTCTGGCACACACACAGCCAGCAGTAATTAAGGCCCACTGTACACACACCCAAATCCACAACACCCAGACCCATTCCTCAAAGCAATACTGCCACCAATTAGGGGGCTATTAAGCTGGGAAATGTGAGGACTTAATAACAAGACACACACACACAAAAAAAAAAAAACAACTGTGGCAATTGCTGGTTGAAATGAACCGCTGACATTTGTCTGAGCGGGAAGTTGGAATTGATTGGGAAACAAAGACTGGGCTGACATCGCTCCCACTGGACCTCCTCCTTCTGTTTCATGTAACTAAGTGACATAATTTCATTTTTAAATGCTAACATTGTTAAAAAAAAAAAAAAAAGAAAAAAGAAAAGCAGCAATGCAGTCTCAGGCTGCAATGGGTCTATTAACTATAAAATACAAATGCAATGCATTTAAATAATGTGCTTAAATTGGCTTAAAATGATTCTCCTCCGGTATTATATCAGAATGTTGTCACTTTATAACTACAAACAATATTCTGTTTTACCAACATTTTTTGGGACACAAACTAAAGCTGCTAGACAAGAAGCTCTTTTTATTCAAACACCTTTATACATCTGCCAGTGTGTATTACAGAAATAGCAATGCCTTACATGAAACAGGGTGGTGGCTCAGTAATGCTGTGGTTAGGGTGGATGATATAACCGAAACTTATTACAATATATTTATAAATTTCAGTCGATAAGATATAATTCTGATATTGATAGAAAAAATGTCAAACGCCTCAGAAAGGGTCCCAGGGATGCCCCTAACAGGCACAAATTTGGGCCGGCACAAATTTGGGAAAACTATTTGGAATGTCTGTAAAACTCCTCAAATATAACATTTTAAAAATTATTGTTAAAAAACACATCCAACTATTTTCAATTTTAGCTACAACCTCAATAGACTAAATTTAAACCAGGACATATTGTCACGTTATAATGGCCACTCATTGTTGCTAAACTGACCCAGTTTGAACTACTGAAGTCTGTGGTGAGCATCATCGCTCATGCAGCCAATATATTCTAAACTGATCACAAACCGTAACATATATCAAAATACCAGAAATGCTTTTAAAATTCATATCCCTGTTATTGAATAAAAATATACCACTATAAATATTGATATCGAGTTATTGAGCCCTGTGCTGTGGGGATACTTTTTAAAGGCCTGAATACCGAAACTGATCGCATTTAATAGAAAGATTGATCAAGCTAAATAGAGGACATTTCAACCAGACAAGAAGTCATATACAAAAAGTCTTGAGTGGGTGTAGGCGTTTATTGTATGATTTATAACTATGGTGATAACTTGCCAGTTCTGATAAGAATTTTGAGTATTGGTCTAAATGATAAATTAGAATAAATGATGAATAAACACTCCAGAATTTTTCAGAATTTTTCTTTTGACCATTTTTTTTTTCCATGTGTTTCCATTGGGTCATTTTTAAAATTTGAAGAATATGATCAAATATGATTACTATGACATGTTTAATGGTATAAATCATTCTTCTTTATGTAACTGGTGGCATGTAAATGGTAAATGGTAAATGGCATGTACTTATATAGCGCCTTTATTCAAGTTAGGAGACTTGACCAAAGCGCTTTACACTACATTCATTCACCCATTCACACACACACTCACACACTGATGGTGGCAAGCTACATTGTAGCCACAGCTGCCCTGGGGCTCACTGACAGAAGCGGGGCTGCCGTACACTGGCGGCACCGGGCCCTCTGACCACCACGCGTAGACAATGCAGGTGAAGTGTCTTGCCCAAGGACACAACGACACTGAAAGTCGGAGTCGGGGCTTGAACCGTCAACCCTTGATTTCAGGGCAAACTCCTACATCCAACGCCACTGTCACCCTAAAGAAGCTGAATTTACATGTGTATATTATTCAAGAGTATTTTTTGTGATTGTGGAGCACCTGAGAAAGACTGCAAAGAAGTGAGTTTTTTGTTTTTAAATCATATGTTCTATCGTTATCATACGATGGATTATTAGGGCGAGACTGGAGATTTATTTTTTTATTTCGAGAATAAAGTCATAATATTATGAGAATAAAGTTGCAAGGAGAATATTCATAAAATAGCGAGAATAAATTTGTAACATTACGAGAATAAAGTTGCAACGAGAATAGTCATGAAATCACGAGAATAAATTCATAACATTACGAGAATAAAGTTGCAACGAGAATAGTCATGAAATCACGAGAATAAATTCATAACATTACGAGAATAAAGCTGCAACGAGAATAGTTGTAACATTAAAAGAATTAAGTTGTAATATTACGAGAATAAAGTTGTATTACATGACAACTCTTACAAGAAGCATTTTCTTCCCTGATGTCGAGCATCATGTGAAGTTATACTTTTGCTCTGCTTTATCAAATAAGGAAATATTAAATCTTTAAATTTTACATTATGTCCAACTGGACTCCGGTTGCTGTTTGGTGGAGCTGGTTGGCCGTCATATGCTGGTAGGAGCTTGAAGCTTTCTTTCTGAAACGGGTTGTGGTAGGATGACTTCATTCTCGATATTTCTCAACTTTATTCTCATAATATTACAACTTTATTCTCAAAATAAAAATAAAAAACTCTAACCTGGCCCTAATACTCTGTAGTGTTATCACAATAACATCACATAATACTGTGAGAAGATTTTAAGTTCATATCAACCAGCCCTAATCTAGAGACTTATTCAGATAACTTTAAAAATTAGGACAACCCAGAAAAACTGATTAAAAATAATGATCAAAAACCAATCTATTTTCCAAGAAGTGATCTTATATTTACAAAAAAAAAACAAAAAACATAACATTAGCTTATGTCTTTGTTGGGATTTGAAATACGTGAGATAGAAATCAAATAAAGTACCATGATTATTGTAGCTGCAGTGTGACAAAATGTCAAAAAGTTTAAGTGGTATAAATTAGGGGTGTTCTGAATGATCAGCCATTTATTCCTGATTTTCCTAATTATGGGAAATCTGCCGATACTTTGATGATAAACTGATCTCATCTATCTCTACAAAAGTAAGAAAATCCTCCGCTGTCAATGCTGTAAACGTTTATTTACAGAGCAGAAATTTGTACGTTTTTATAGTTTCACAGGTAATATGCAATGTTTTTCAGTAAGATAAGATCTAAACATTGAAGGTGTCCTGTGATCTTATCAATTGAAAGTTTAAGATCTGAAAAAATTAAAACAAAAGGCATACAAGTCAAAATTGCCATGTTGTTTTGTAATTAATTTGAGTTTGTCTAAGTCCAAATCCAGCTTCTTATAGATGGTTATCATTCAGAAATCTGCAATTAGTGAACCCCTAGTATAAAAACTTTAAAAAGAAACTGTACTGACACTCTTCCTTTTACTTTGTGTTTGTTAATTTCATAATCTACAAAATCCTACTTCTGTTCAGAAATATTCCCAACATCTAAACATTCGTGGATTCTGATCTTTGCTGCCTTAATGCGTCACTTCTTTTTACTTTCAGCAACACTTATGAACACTAATGCCTAAAAATAAAGTTTGGAAGTGGGATGTCTTAACATTTCTCTTCACAGACAACCTTTAATGTTTCTAAGGGCGACCGAAGTTAGCAGATGAGTATCAGTGTCAGTCAGCATCTCTGTGTGGGACGGAACTCACTTGTCCAGAGCAGAACCTTGTGTTTGATTGCTGGTCAGTCTAGAGAAGACATTGCGATCATTCCTTGTCCGCAGAGGAGGGGAGGAAGGAGGGGTGTAGCCATCAGTGGGCCTGATGAAGAAGTAAAGAAATTATTTGTCAGCAAAAAAATAAATAAAAAAATCAATTAGAGATCAGGCGTTTCATCTGGTCGCAAACATCTGTACCTGTAAGATCGGTCATAAGATTTACGTCTTGTTATGGGGGAAGTGTCATAACCTCGAGACTGCCTGGGACTGAGACATAAAAAAAAAATCCAAGTAGAAACATATGAAACAGATAATACAAAGAAAAAAATGATTTTTTTAAGCTTAATTGGGCCTGGAAGGTGACGTGCCAATTAAAACAACTCAAACATGTGGCTGAACCTCATCATACCTGGTGGACATCAACCTTTAGAGTAGATGCTGCTACTGTGCAAATAGGTATTAAAGTTAGCACCTCTCTGTGTTCATCACATGTTTAAAAAGAAAGGTGAGACAGATCCTATGGCTGTAAGAAGCCTGATGAAAAGAAACAGTATGCGTTTTTTTTTTTTTTCAGGCTGCCAGAGAGCAGGAATCTTAGCAGATAATACAAAGGTACGGCAAAGTGTCTCATTTATCCATTAATGCTTTAAGCCTCTGTCTCCGGCTAAAGTTTAAAATCTGGTACAAATGGACGCTCCATAGTGTCTTAAATGGTACTTATTGCAAATGTTATTAACTATAATTGATATAAATATGCACAAATGAAATGTGATATAAGCTAAGAAGCACAGACAGACGTCCGGGTACAGTGATTGGTTTGTCTACTATTGAGAACCTTAAAAAAAAAGCTCAAAACAACTAAAAAAAAAAAAACCTCTGAAGATGAAAGTTGGATTTAGAATAATATAAACATAACCATCCTCCACCATCAAACTAAAAAAAAATAGATTTACTAATTAATAACCTCAGACTAATGCAATCATATTATCAAATACTGTAGCATCACCTGCAATAGAGGAAGGTGTTAGCAGCTGCAGTGCCGTTATTAGCAGGTTTATACGCCAGGCGGCCATATTGGCTTTTTATGTCAGGGCTGATGACAAATCATAGTCTTTCCCAAAGGATATGAACGTCTGTCTGTTTTTTTTTTTATTACACACTTTAAAATGTGGACTTCTGTGTAAAAATGGCAAAAGACAAGAAAATGCAACCCTTAGCCAATGAAGTAGAGGGGCGGAGATTTCCGGTAATACATACAGAAACTGCTGATTACACACTTTGTAAATCTAACCATGTAAAACTATGGTTGTTTGTATTTTTACCTCCATTAAAATCTATTTTATCACAGCTACTGATTTCCAACACAGTGTGAAGTCACCTCTGATCCTATTATGAATGGTTAATAAGTGCTGCAGGCAGCCTTCGATTTTTTGTTTCTGATATCATGGCTCCCAATGAGAAATCACAATCAGCAGCTCAGAATTTTACAAGATTCAACATTTTTAAGATAGTTTCAGCAACTGCCTTTTAAACAGTCCTTCCACCCTCAAGCATAAAGATTCATCCCCATGACTTACAAAGTGTGTCCCCTGACAGGAAGGCTGATGGTGCGGGACACTCTGTCCCTGTTGAAAGGGTCTCTGAGGGGCACGCTGAGGGCCAGGCTGCCTGGAATCAGGCTTAAGCCATCCTCCTGGATATCTGTCAGAGAGGCTAGAGACTTTGTGATGTGCTGCTGCTTGCTGCCTGATGAGGGGTCCAGGACAGGGCCGAGGTACTCCGCCGACACCGCCTTCATCTGAACCGACAGGCGAGGCTCCGTCTGGGGGGAAAAAGGTGAAGCATTTGTGTTAAAGTCAGAGTTTACGAAGAAAGAATCTGAGTTTGATTCAGATGCATGTTTTCTCTGTTTCTCTGGGAAAATGAGAGGCAAGAACCACAAAACAAGCTGCTTAGAAAAGATGAACAAATGCTACATAAAAACGAGAGAAACCAAAGTCTGTAAAGAGAGCTGCACTAACAGAAGGATCTCTTTTCAACCATCAAGGTTTGTGTTTGCTTGTGCTGCCCCCCTGTGGATGCAACAAGTACTAAAGGATGCTTGGAAGGTAGCAGTAAGACATGATGGAGAGTGATCCTGTTCCTCTTACCTTTATTTTAAAATCATCCTGGCTGTTGGATTCCTTCATCTGTGAGACACTAAAGGAATTGATAAAACAAATGGGATGAAACACAAATAAGGGTCACTCTATTTTACAAATGTTTAGTTTGTTTTTTACCCCACATTCTACTAAATATAGTTGCGTTCTTTTTTTGTGCTTAAGTTTCATAGATGAACAGGAAGTGGGGTGAAGACATTTTGCTCACCTGCTGTCAGAGGCTTGGCTGAACTCTGAGGGCTCCTCGTCTGTGCTGGCATAACCATTTTCTGAAAGCAGGGCAAAAAAAAAAGAAACTAAATTTACAGTTAAACTCCAGGATTCAGGATCAATTTAAATGTGAGTCCAGAAACATGTGAAAACGGAATGTTTTATAGTTTTTTGCTTTGCTGGTAATTTATCCTTTAAGGTTTCCTTTCTTTGACGGTTTCATCCTGCAAACTGAGATAAGATGCTCTAAAAGAAATGTCCAAACTGAGTAAATGTTTTTGCAAACATTCACACCCATTGAATATGTTTGCATCCATATTATGGTAACAAACCATCAACGTTTATCCATCATTAACTGACACAAAGCAGCTCTTGTTTTGAATGCCTCTTCTAACGTTGCAGCTCGATATGAAAAGGTCTGAGCTAACCTTTGGGAGTGTATTATAGCATGCAGTGATGGTGTTTTTCTACTGTCCTTCAGTCTACAGATTAGTTTAGCTCCATCAACCTTTATCAGCTCTGAGGAGCATCCATTTACCTGATAAAGAAGCTTATCCCCACAGCATGATGCTGCCACCACTGTGTTTCATGGTTGGGATCGATGTAGATTAAAAGAACCTTTTTGATGCCCATTTACCAAGAGCATTTTACCATGCTTCCTATGGCCATAGCCCACGGTTTCTCCAGGGTACCTATGGGGCCTCCTGGCTGCTTCTGATAATTCTCCTCAGTTTAACAGGAAGGCTGTGTCATTGTAGGTTTACATTTCTGCCATGGTTTGAACGGAGCTTTGAGCTCAGAGCTTGAAATATGGTTTTATAAACTAAACTTGGTTTAAACTTCTGAACAAGTTCATCACTGATTTGTCTGTCTCTTTTTTCCTTTTAGTTCAGCTATGTTCTCCTCTTCTGAGACCTGAAACAGAACAGCTGGACTTATTCTGTATTTAGACTAGACTATGTGAAGGTCAATCAGAGTAAAGTCATTTAAATACCAGGGAGGAACTATATTGTAATTTAACCAATATTTTACACTTAAACTGGTTAATAACCGATATCAATAATCTGTTATTCTTAGACTCTCTTACAGATATCCTGTAGTTTTCTGCTTCCATTCCTTTGCAATCCCTGAATATAGCAATTCACCCATCAGTTTTGGAGAATTTAATATCAGCCGATATCAATAGCATGGGGATAACATCGGGCATCCCTACTAGATACCAATGCATGTTAGAGCAATACCCTTATTTGTAAATGAAGTTTTTAAGTGGTGTATGGTGTTTGTTGTTTTACCATTTTTCTTTTTATCTGTCAATCGGAAGTAACGCTTAAAAAAAACCTTGTAAACAAACTTTATAATCATTTTAAACTGCTCTCACCTTGCTGGACGTTGTGGATCAGAGCCTGGAGCTCAGGGATGTATTCTGCCTTTTCTCTCAGCGCGTCCAGAATCATATGGTTGTGGGAGGAGCCGATTACATCCGTCTGTCTCAGCTGGCCCTCCAGAAGTCGGATCTGTGCCTCTTTTTGAGCCACCTGTAAACTCTATACACAGGCACACAGGAGGAGACATATTGTCATCATTTGTTATATCTTCAGGCTCAAACATCCAGAACGCTTAAACCTTTAATGGTGCTCAGCCTCTTCCAACTGTGGGATTCAACCTTGCTCTAAAAAGTACAGAATTAATGCAAAACTTAACTACTTCTTAGAAACCCTTTCCTTCTAATTAACAGCTGTAAAGACACTAACCCCTAATTTACACTGTGTCTGTTTCCAGTTTGCTCAGCTGCAAACTCTAATCAATGGGAGTCTTCACACAGCCTCAGCAGGGCGGTGCGAGCTGACGGCATTAAATATACAGAAATCACATTGCCCCAACAGAAACCCAGAACTAGCAATAATCGGGTTTACTTACTCAAAGGCTGCTTTATTAATACTTTTACGAGTCTATTTATGCATTTGTATTCTTGCAATTGCACACATTAGATGAATTATGGGGCAATAAATATAAATGTAGGTAATCAAAATAAAACTGAATATCAAATACACACATAACTTCCTGCACGCTGAGTACCAAGTCATCGCAGTATGTAACGCCATAAAACTGTCTGCATGTACAGAAATGAAAAGTAAAGCATTTTTAACCCTTTTAAACCCCATAGGAGGAGTTGTTTTGGTCTTACTTCAATGTTTATCACTGGCTGTTATTGTGAGATCTGTGCATATTTGTTGCTGCTCTGGACTTCACGCTGCATTGGAGCTGGATGCAGTGTACATTGGGACTAAATCAGCATTTTGCTTTCAAAGGAAAATCTAACTTCTGAGTCTATAAAAAACATGTAAAATTTTCATAATTAACCACAGGGAACAAAAAAAAAGCATATCTTATATTAAAAAGAAAACAAACCCAGCACCATCAGTAGGCAATGCAGGTTAGGTGTCTTGCCCAAGGGCACAATACTGAAAGGTGAAGCAAGAGCTTGCACCAACAACTCTTCAGCTGCAGGGCAAACTCATGCATCTGAGGCCACTGTCGCCCCCAACATAACATCATCAAATCAAACCTTGTTTATGAAGCAGTATCTCACGTGTTGTGCAACACAAAATGCTCTAGCTTTATTTCCAGAGCAGCAGCCTCACCCTAGCCAAAGCAGGACCCTTACATACACATCTCATGAACAACAAGCTTTTTTTGTTGTTTATTTTTTAGTGGGCCCAAGCCCTTAATTTAAAAGTACACTAATGGAAATTGCTGCTGTTATTGTCTTATTCTTTTAATAAGCTATGTAACCTGCTATGATCCCAGGTTTATAACAAGTGATGGAAGGGGTTCTAGTTCTCACTTAGGGAACATTTAAAAGGCCGGTAACCAAGGAGCCAATGCATTGATTTTAGAACTGGGGTAAACCAAACAGTCAAAATAAAAAATAAAAACATTGCAGTACAGCAAACTGCCACTAGATGGTGTATAAAGAACAATTTATTATTGTAACAGGCAGCACAGAAAGTTTTTTTGGTGCAGGTTTATGCTTCATTTTTCACTGCACATGAGCTTCACCTTATCAATGGAGGCCTTCAGGAAGTGGTCCAGCAGGTGGCGTGCTTCAGCCAACGAACAGGAACTGATCACCACTGAGGTGTCCACTGAGTCCAGCTCATCCTGAATAACACCCCAGAACATCAATGAGGGCTTTATGTTGCAAACACTCCATGTGTTTCTGTGTAAATGTTTGGGTCCTCTTACCTTGGTCTCCTCTATCTGCACGATGGTGGCCTGACAGTCAGACAGACTATCATTGATGTAGTCTATGTTGGCATTCAGCACTTCGATCTCCTCGTTAACTTCCTGAAGGAGGCGGTCCTCGGCCTCCGGCCCCTCTCCGTCAGCCATCAGGACCTCCCTTTTATGAGAGAGAGCTTCCTGCTGCATTGTCAGCTCTTCTCGCTTCTGACTCATCAAAACACAATATGCACATGAGATTAAAAAAACTTTAAAATAAGCAAAAAAAAACATGATTTTGACTCAGAGTCATTCTGTTTTTCTATTTTTTTTGATAAACACTTCAACCATGTTGTCATCAAAAGATTAAGACAAAAATCAAGGTGTTGCAATAAAAAAAAAAAAAGGGCCGTTTGTCCTGAAGACACTTTGCCACGTAGGAAGAAGAGGAACTAAGCTCCTCACACTTGGTTTCAGTTCTTTTCTACTGACATGAATGAGTTAAAACACGGGATGAACCAAAGTGAAAAATGCTTTTCAGAAAGCAAAAAAATTAGGAAACGAAGGCCAAAAACCGAAACACTAAAAGAAGTTGCTATCTCAAATATTAAAATTGTAGCATTTTTGGCTATTAAAAAGACTTATTACTGTTTAACCTCAAGAAATTTCAATAAAATATTAGTTATTCAATAACAAAACAGGGCTGTACAGTTCAAGTATTTTACTCTGATTTTCATCTATGAATAGATTAGTGTGAATGGGTGGAGGAAAAAAAAAATAGCAATATTCATGCGAGCACAGATTTCTCCACTTTCAATTGCATTTCGCTCTTAAAAGGTGTCAGGCTGGATTTAAATAAGATATCCGATTGTCTTTTGTTTAAAATAAGAAAGGGAAGACACAATTAATTAGATTTATTGTGATTAATTGCTTATTGAAATAATCGTCAATTTAATAATCGATTAATCGTTAACTGGAGTATAAAGACTGTAAAGCATGCCTTCAGCTGACAGTGCAAACTAGTTAGAGCAGTAAGCATACCAAAACTGTTTAAAAAATATTAAAATTTTTAATTTAAAATAAATAAACATTTTCATTTGTCAATATCCTTCATCCAAATTTCCTCAAGTGGTAAAGTTTTAGTTTCAACTGATTTAATAATAATATAAAATAATCAACAGATTAAATTATCTGCAAAATAATCGTTAGTTGCAGCCCTACTGAAAGCGGTAGATTTGTACTGGGAGAATACTTAAGGAACCAGTTACTGCTGCCACTTACAGATTCCCCGCAGTGACACCTAATGCAGCACAATAGTGTGAATGCATTTACCTCCTTACTGCTGTGGTGCTGTGGGAAGGTGAACCATGTGCCGTTAAGACTGCAATCAGTCTTAATGGCAGGTGAGCTCGCTACAGCCACAAGTAACCCCTGACTGCAGGCTGCAGATCTGGGCATGACTAAACGTTGAGCAACACCTAAATCACCCACATTGCAAATGCATGAGCTTCCAAATGTCTTCTTTTCTGAAATTTGGGCCTATTTGAAAAGGATTGTTGTAACCAAATGACTTTCTTTAATCTCCCACACACCTTCAAAGAGCTTCTGCAATGCCAGATATTCCACATCACACACTTAGGAAAAACAATGTGGACAGAACCAAGTGGAAAGACAGTGGACGGTCTTTATAAATAAAATATTGTGATATGATTGGGCCGTTGACTAAATCCATGGTTTTAGCCCTCCAACCCCTGACAAATTCCGCCTTTAAATGTAACCTTATCTGTTCTTCAGAGCTGTATTTATGCATGTATTTAAAATAAAGAATATCTTTTTATTCAAGTTCAATTTCCAATGACAACTAATGTCTTATGACAACGTGTTAAAGGGTTAAATCCAAGGGAGGAAAAAAAATGACCAAAAAAAAAACAATGTTTTTTTTTTTGTTTTTTTTTTACATTTTCAAAAACAGATTTTAAACATCTGTCCAGACCTTGATAAGGCGATCCATGTCTGCTTCCACATTAGAGATGGTCATTCTCTGCATGACGATGTCCATTATGCGGCGCTCCAGGGTTTGCCACTTCAGGCGGGCAGCCTTGGAGAAACTGTTGGCTCTGCCTGCAGCAGCAGTGCTGCCCAGGCCTGCTGGTTTCCTCTGCATCATCTTCTTGCTGATGAAAAGTTATAATGCATAAAAAGAAGACTCATATTCCTGCATTTTTTCAGACATTTTGATGTGTGTGAAATGTTTTATATGTCTTAAAGGTTTCAGAATTTGTAAGCAAACAAAAATGCAGAAACGGTACATGATGCTAATTTCACAGTGATATTTTTCTACCAAATCCAGGCTAAATGGGTCTAAAGACATTTAAACTCCATAGTTTTCACTTTTGTTTGAAAAACGCTGAGTTACTTTGCATTGCTATGTGCAGCTAGATAACGCTTACCTTATCACCCGCGTTCCATCCATACTCCCCTCGCTCTCCGCTATGTATCCGTACACGTTGTTCTTATTGTTCCACTGCCGCACCAGCCCACTCACGGTCCTCGCAGTCTCCGCCTCAGAGCCGCTCGCCGTCGTGCTGGTTGACAAGTCAGCTCCAGAGTCCGTAACGGGGGGCGTTTGGTTCCAACGGGCGACCCGCCCCGCCACACGATCCGACATAGGCTTGGCCAGGCGCCGCAGGGCCGTCACCTCCTGGGTCTTCCTGCGCAGCACCAGCTCCTGCTGCCTCTTCTGAGACTCCAGCGCTCTGATCTGGTACTAAATTCAGCAGGTGTTTGGATCATTTAGAGTTTACAGATGTCCTTTTTTTTATTGTGGTTTTATTAAAATTACATTCCAAAGTTCAGGCTGTTTATTTTATTTATTTTTACTTTTCTTAGGGACTTAAGAACATGCAGTTCTTCATCCTAAAGGATCACAAGTCAGGAAGAAAATTCAGAATGTAAAAACTGCATGTTTTGTATTCTTGTTTCTCAGCAATACTTCTACTTCCTGCCTAGGAGCAAATACCTAAATACAAACGGAAAATACTGACGCTGACTGGAATAACTACGATCCAAGCTCTCAGGAAGCAACATAAAAAAGTCTGCACAAATTTCTGCTCCAAACGCAATCATTAAATGCTCTCTAACCTCCTGTCGACGCTGCTCCTTCTTCAGCTGAGCAATCTCTCGATTCCTCTTAGCCTCTACCATTCTCCTCCTCTGCTGCTCCTCCTTCATCTGCTTCATCAGCACCACCTGAGAACAGGCCAAAGCAGCACGTTAAAAATTCCTTCCTTTTATTTTTTCAACCAGACTAACTTTCGTCCGCTTACCTTTGCCTTCTTCATCTCGTTGACCTCAGTCTGTAGCTTTTTCAGCTCCCGCTCGTACCTTCCCTGGTTTTTGAGGAGACGTGCATGCTCCTTTTGGGCTGTCTGCAGCTTGAGCAGGTCCCGGTTCATTTCTTTCAGCCGCTTCTCGTACTCCTGCCTGATTTTGCTGGCCTTCTCCTCGGTGTAGTTTTCCATGGACACTGAACAGCCATGTAAAAATGTTGAAGAGGCACCAATAGTTATAAATTTGTTGAGGATTACTGAGGTAAACTCACTGAGGTTCTGCAGCACACGGTCTCTCTCCAGCTGCGTGTCTCTGATCTTGTTCTGCAGCAGGATGAGCTTCTCCTCGTACTGCAACTTTAACATCAGCAGCCGCCGCTGGCTGTTCTCCAGCTCGTCTATCAGCTTCTGCTTGATCTCAATCTCACAGGTCAGGTCGGCCAGATCTGCCTGAAAGTTGGCTGCATGTTTGGGATTTAAAGAAATTATTTTAACCCCAGTCTACATTCATATTAAGTAAATGCACATGAGCATAGAGTCTGCCATTGCCTTTCTCATCCGAGTCAGAATCTGAGTCCACCAGGCTCTCATCACTGTCAAAATCGTCTTCCTCGTCCCTGCCCTCCTCTTCATCCTCGCCTTCATCTTCCTCACAGCCGCTCTCCTCCTGCAGCGGAGACATGATGTCCTACAAACACACAAAATCTATACTTTAAACTCTATCCTGCTGATTTATAGCGGAATTGCAAATAAACCTACACCTCACCTCGGTGGTGTTGTCGTCTGAATCGATCTCTCCATTCTGTCCGTTTTCCTGACAGTGCAGCTTTACTCGTTTCTTCAGACCCTTCTCCAACTCTGGGCTGCAGGAGGGAGAAAAGTGTTATTAAATATCTATAGATAAAATCATTACTGTGCTTTAATCAGAAGATTACCCTGCAGGATTGCTGCCTTCTAACAATCCTAGCAAGCAGATACGCTGATGGCAAACATAAGCCTTCCATTAAACTACATCAACCTTTATCCTTTACATTAGGTTTATAAGTTTTATTACTCGTTTTATTCCCCCTATGCTCTCGCCTTTATAGATCCTATCAGCCATTCCATCTGCCAACATTTCTCTGCAATTAGACTGTTAGACTTGTACTCCTCATCTCGTACGACCCATGGCTAACTGTGTGGAACCTTTTAGGGTCCTTCGCCAGCATAAACCGACAGCACTCCAACGCTCCCAATGTCCCAAAGTCCTAATTGACTTGGATGCGGCTCTCAGAAAGAAAATGAGGCAGAGACGGAAGCAGATGCAGATCTTAATCCCTTTCAGCTTGTAAAATGTGCGCAGAATCAATTCAAAGTTTGTTCAACATAAAGCTCAGGTGTTTGGAGACACTGCCTTATTGTCTAAGTTTAAGCATAATATCTGAATCATTATTTAAGAACAAGTTTCCTTTACATTTTATTTCATATTGTTTGGTTTTATGGGTTGGCATCTGGTTAGAAAGAGAATACTAGTGAGCTTGAGCTGTTTGAAGTAGATAGAGTTTAACTGCTGTCTGACCTGACCGCAGAGAGCCTGAGATTGAGTGAGTAAGTAGCTGATATTTACAATCGATCAGGTGGAGAGGAAAAAATGCATTCGGCTAATCTGGAGCTGGATAAGAACATAAAAAAAATAAATAAATAAAAAAGATAGACAGTGCATGTTGGAGTAGCTCTGCAGGGATTTTAGTTCCTCTGTGGACCAAAGTTTCTTTTTTATGTGTTTTACCTGGAGTGCTGGATGCTGTGTAGAAAGAAGGTTTTTTTATCTTTTCATTTTTTTTTTTCATCTTTGTGATGATGGGTAACCATAGCAACCTGGTTTTTACACCTGGGAGCAGCTCATTAACATCTCAAAAGCATATTTCAAAAACTTGAGTCGAAAAGGAGGCGCCAAGGATCCATAGTGGCAAGGAAAGGGAAGAGAGGAGGACAAAATTCAAGCCATCTCTTCCATCAGTTATTATGGGCAATGCTTTCTGCCCATAAGAGCAGACAGAGGTTTAAAAAAGGCTGAAAATTTAAAGTAGAATCTCCTCTAGAACCACAGGAGAGGATTTCATAAAGAAAAATGAAAAACAATATGAAAAATATCGAGGATCCTCTTCAGAAGACTGTTAAACACAAACAGCTGCAGTAAGAGGCTTATCCAGATCCGATACAAAAAACATTTATTTTACCTTTTCTATCAATAACTTATCTTTTAACTAAAATCATAATCAGTGCAGATCTTTTCATATATTGTCTAATTAAAGATGAAAATCTTTACGGACTGATGAATAATTTGATTGGTGAATGGATCTAAAAGGGAACAAAGACAATGGAATAAAGTGATATTCAAATTTTCCATTTCTTCACCTTAGTCTTCTCTGTCGTCTCTCCTTCTTCTTCAGTCTCTCGATGTCCATCTTGGCACGTCGCAGCACGTCCGTCATCTCGGCCTCCATGGACAAGGACACAGGGGAGGAGCCCTGGGGATGGCCGGGGGCGGGGCTTAGAGCAGAGGCTGGGAACGAGGAGCGAGAGGAGAGCCGGGCCACCTGCCGTCGCAGTGACTCATTCATGGCCTCGCTCTCGAGGAGTTTGGATCTGACCAGGCAGGAGGAGTTAAAAAGACAGAAATGAGGAAGATTTAAGATTCATTGATATTTGAGATCACAGATCCCCCGGAAGTCACAAGTCTTGGAAAGCTTATAATCAAGCCGTTACCTGAGTTCTTCAACTTCTCGGATATAGTTCTGTATGAGCGTTCCAATCTCCTCATTGCCTTCACCTGCAGGTCAAAAGAAAAGCTACTTTGTTAAACTGGTTTTGACCAACAGTAAAGGTATACATACAGCCTTATAAGCATAAGGAACAATGTTCAGGTGTGGAGCGTCTCTGTGTCCACGTACTTGACTTGGTGAGCAAAGTGCTGATCTCATTGGCCAGCATATGTGTGACCCGGGTGTTGAGGTGATCGATGGTCTCCTGCATGGCTTTTACCCTCAGTCTCAGAGAGTCATTCTCCCTCTGCAGCATGGTGTTCTCCTGGTATAGGTCACTATAGCCTTCTGAACCTTCCTCACCCGCCACACGCTTTCCCTGAGGGGAAATAAACAAAAAGAAAAAGTCAGGCCTAGAGAGAAAAACTGAACACGGCGCCATTGTTCAGACTGAGTGTATTTGTCTGTGGCTCCTCAGGCAGCCATTGTTGAGGTTTTTTAGGGGCAAACATTCTCCTGTTTATGCCCCAAACAGAGAGGCAGTATCTAATCTGGTCAATCGCACCTCAGTCCATTAGCAGACTACAGTCACATCCCATCGAGGTGAGCTGACAGCTCCTTAACACAGATGTTTTCCTCTCATAACCATAGTGATTTCAGGCTAAACAACAGCTTTTTTATTGTAGCCACAGGTCAAAGCTGACAAACTTAAGCTCCATGTTAATGCTCCAAATACATTTTCCATCCTACTTCATATACATGTTGCCTGAAATCAGACGGATTTCTACTGAATCCTTTCATATTTCATTTTGGAAGACCAGCTTCTTCATAATCAAGCTAATTTATACACAGTGCTTCAGCGATTTATTATTCACCCTTTAGTATTTTTTTTATTTTTTACCTAAAAGACCTGTTTTTTGATTAGTTTTTTTTTTATCTTTAATTGTCCATTCAACAGAAGTTCAATAGTATCAAATGGTTTTAGAATAAAGAACCAAAAGTTTGTTGTGTCCAGCTGAGTATAAATCCAGCTGTTCTGTCAAGATCTTAAAGGTTTCTTAAGAAATATATTATTTTTAAAAAAAATAAGGAATATGGAATTAATTTTATTCCTTTATTGCTACAAAAAATGCATTGTATATATATTAGAAAGACATTTTGATCAAATTAATTTATATATATATATATATATATATATATATATATATATATATATATATATATATATATATATATATATCTCTTACAACCTTCATGTTCAACTTCTTTCAAAATTTTTTTAAAGCTTTATATTTGATAATTTTTTCTTGCAAATTTCCATCTTAGATTGAGTTTTAAGACCTAAACCATTTTTAAATTGCATTCAACAGGTCACATTCTCTTCAATTCTGGGGGCGGGTGATATGATAAGAAAGTGATTCATAAACTTAATCTGAAAAACGGAAATAAAAAATTACATTTGAAAATATAAAATAGAAATAAAATTAAAAAATTGCTTAAAAGACATTTATTTGTAACGTTTTGGTACTCGACCTTCATCAGGGTAAACTATGATCCTTTTTTACCTTTGCATCTGACAGGTTTATATAGATGTGTGAAGAGCTCTATTGAAAAATATAAATAATACATTTGAAAAAAATAATATTAACCCGAAAAAACTGCTAATCTAAAAAGTTAATCTGAAACCTTTTAATTGATTTAAACCTTTCCAACATTTAATTTCTGAACTGCACTTTTTTTTATTCCCACATACAAAACATGTTCTTTACTTGCAACACTAATGGGACAAAATTCCCTCCATAAAGGAGCACAGAACAAGCAAAACATTATTTACAGAGAAAAATTAAATAATCAAAGGTAACGCCTTGAAACATGCTCGTAGCTTAGTGCTGTTAATGAGAAGATGGATGCAATACAGGGCAATACTTTAAGGAAAACCTTTAGAGGTTAGAACTTCAGACTGAGGTTCAAGGTTCAATTTTAAGCAGGAAAAAGCCATAAAAAATATAGCATGAGCTAGAATCGAATGGTTTAGATCAAATCATAATGGTAGAATTTAAAGTCCAGATTTAAATCAAACTGAATCCTTAGTAAATCGGTGGTAGACTGAGACAGACTCAGATAGACCCAAAAGGCCTGAAATTGTAATGAAACATGGTTTCTACTGACATAATTACAGATGTACACACATCACTTAAGATTCTGGTTAAAAAAACTGATAGTTATACATCCTTTGTTTCCCAATCCTAATTAAAATCCCCATAAAATCCATTAGTTTGTGGTCATAATGTGATAAACAGAAAAGTTCAGAGAGTGTTAATGTTATTTGCGAGACAGTAGGAAATGTGTAAAAGGTTAAGTTTAACCCAGTGACCTTCATTTCCTTCTGTTCAGTTACTTTCCTCCATTTCATTCATCTAATCACCTCTCTTGCTCCTTTTTTCATACAATGTGTTATCAGATCTTCAACCTGCCGCTTTCAATTTCTCCATCTTTCCCTCTTCTGTTTAATCCAGAATGGCTTATTTTAGTTTCACCCATCACCTCCGTCACTCACCGCCTTGTACTCCATCAGCTCCATCTGGAGCCGGGCTATCTCCGCCCGCAGAGCGTTGATCTGCTGGCTGGTCTTGTCTTGGTTCACCACCACCTTGTTCTTGATGTTTCGGGCACGGTTGGCATACTTCAGCGTGTTCAGCGTCTCCATGAAGTCACGGTCCGACGGGCTGATGCAGGCGATCATGACCGTGCGGCTAAAGAGAACAATCAGACGCTCAGGTCTTTTCAGTATCATCTTACTACCACATATCTATATACCTGTGAAAATACTGTTTGAGTACCTGTTGCCTCCTAGCGAATCCTGTAACAGTCGCGTAAGTTTGGAGTCTCTGTATGGGACGTGTCCTGCTTTCTTATTCTGATCACCTAAAGCGCTGATCACATTCCCAAGAGCAAGCTGAGAAACCGGGAGAAGCATCCAGACGGCATTTAGGAAGAGCGAATGAAAAATGAAGATGCAGCGAATGGAGTTTGAGTGCAGTAAAGCAATGAGGATACAATAATTTTTCTCTCTGACCCACCAGCCCACAGTTAATAGAGATTCCCTCTCTGGCCCGTTCTCCAGTGGCGCCTGTGCGTTTAAGCCGCTCAGAGCCCGCCAAGTCTACGAAGTGAAACTTGGCCATCAGTGTCTCGTACTCTGGCTGGGCAATGGGTGAAGAGTCTACACCGTTCACCTCCGTGTTCTCTCCTCCGTTCTGCTGAGAGTAAAGCATCCAACATCAGGCTGGCAAACATTAAAACACCTCACGTTCTGCTGAGATCAGCTTCAGTTAGTTCTAAATATACATCATCTCCCCTCAGTCATATTAACAGATTCAACAAACAATTCAATCCTTTTTAAAATCCTTTTACATCTTTAAGGCTCTCCGTTTTCCTGCAAACTTCTGGACTTACCATCTCCTGCTGTTGAAACACCCTCATCTGACAGACATGGATGGTGAAGATGGCGTGCGAGCGGGAGCTTTGTGCGTTCATCTGTGTGCTGGCTGTGGTACGGGACAGAGCCCCGAGCTTCAGGCACTGCAGCAGCTGCAGAACACAAAGTAGGACAGTTACAGACTTTTCATCTGAAATTAGACAAATTTAAAAAAAACAATTATTAGCATAGACTAATTGTAAGAAGGAACATTTAAATTTGTTCTCATGCTTATCATCATTGCCAGGAGGAATCCATAAGCTTCCAAATACGTTTGATGATTTAGAAACAACTCCCAACTCTGCTCATTTAAAGCTCTATCAACTATTTTTTTCTTATTTCTTAGTGATCCTGCCTTCACCTTTCTTTCTCCTTAATTACTGCCTCCTTACTCCCAATTTGTTTTGTTCTTTAAAGTCGAAAGGAGTCTTCCAATGGGTCATAATTCAGCAAATGAAAGCAAACATGAGCTAACAAAAATAAAGACATCATTTCTTAACTCTGCCACTGCATAATTATTGAAGTGTTGTTGGAGCCAATCAGTTACTGTGAAACGTTTCCACCTGCGTCCTCTGCTATGGTGCGAGATAAAAAAAAATGCGTAGGTATTTAAATTTGTAAATTTAAGTCAATAAACAGGAATAAATTTAAAATCTGTATTTATTCTTTGTTGACAATTCATACATCAGTGAAAATCTATGTTTAAAAGTTACTAATAAGTGAAAACTTTGCAGAACTACAGGTACAAATCCTACACTTTATAGGTTGAAATCTACAGTACCAACCAGATAAATCTGTCACTATTCACCAGCTAGTGGTGGTGATGCACCTAAAAGTTGCTTGCATAACACCTTTACACCCAAAGAAGAAGAAGCTAAAAAATTCCACTGAATATGAGGCACAGGCATTGAAAAAAAATTAATAAAACATATAAACTTGTTGATTCACACTCATAAATGTATCACTTGTTCTTGTAGATTTACAAATTCATAGATGTTTACCTTGCATTCATAACATCTAAACTTTTATCATCTCAGATGAAAATCTAATGTCATGCATCTATGAGTTAACAAACAGCAACAAAAATAAAAAATCTTAAATATATGCAGTTTATTGACTGATATTTACAAATACAAACATCTAGGTTAATGTTTTTATTGACAGTTATCTTACTTTGTTGTCGTGTTTAACAAATATTCCTTTGGGGAAAAAAATCTGAAGTATTTTCCCACATCAGTCATTGATCGCTTAACTGGAACTTTTAATTTATTGTACTGTTTGTTTCACTTTGATTTTCAATTTAACTATGAAGTCATATTATGCTTTCTTCTCAGGTACTTCTTTTATAGCAGGGGTGTCAAACTGGTTCCAGAAAGGGCCATTTGGCTGCAGGTTCTCTTTCCAACCAAGCAATAGCATAAGACTCCAGTCATCTCATCAAGTGAGTCCAATCTGAACATGATGACTTGATGAGATGACTGGAGTCTGGTGTGCTACTGCTTGGTTGCAAAGAAAACCTGCAGCCACATGGCCCTTTCTGGAACCTGTTTGACACCTGTGTTTTATAGTTTCCAAAAATATATGCGAAATACATTTTCAGTTGTAAGTTATTTGAAGTTGCCGTTTGTGCAACAGCTACAGAAGCAAACCAAAAAAATGTGTCGCACAATACATGGGATTTTATTAAATATCGCAATACATCAAAAAAGGCGATATATTGTGATTTTTATAATCACATATCTCTGGAAAACCTCAGGAGATCTGCTGTAGCTGCTAGAGAGCAGATGATTAATAGGATCTTCGGCTGGGCGGCACCACCTAAGTGGTTGGAGGTTTCAGAGTAAGACAAGGAATTTAGTGTTTGCCTATATATATTTTTCTTTAAATTTTAGATCTACTACTTTAAATACTAATATCATCTAATGAGATATCTCTATACTTGACTGAATTGTCCTCTAACTGGAACTGGGGGACTTTTTGTTGAATGGCCCCAACAGTATCAGAAACTGAAAAACTGTTTATATGTTCCCAATCAGTGAACAAAACATACTTGGTTCTCCAAAGTAGTGCTGATGATACTTTAATAAGATGTAGAACAGGGGTCACCTATTAAAAATCAGCGGGGTCCAAATAAAGAAAATCAACCAGTAAAGGTCTGGAGATTTTTTATTATAAACATTGAATAAAAAAAAAAAACATAAAAAAAGAAAATGTTTCCATTTTAAAATCTAAAGTGTTTTTTGAAGTAGAGAACAACAATCGTTCAGTTTGGTTTTTAGACAATTTCCTGATTAACATATTTTATAAAACACCTAAATTTACTTTTTTTTTTTTTTTTTTTTTTTTTAAATGGCTTAATGAGAGCAGTGGGCTTTAGCTGCTCTGCAAAGGTCAGGGTTTGAATGACGACAAAGCCATTCTTAAGCCATTCCAGGCTCATGCGTGAGATTATATATTCCCAAAAACTAAGACTGTTTAATTAAATGATTGGATGCAAACTATTGCTACTTGAACAGACCAGGAAGCAGATTGCTCATCTCGAAAATATTTATTTTATACTAAGATGCTTAAAAGTTAAATCAAATCCAGTCAAAATGCCCCAGAGCGCCTCTCACAACTTCAAAAGAAACTTCTCATCTCTTCTGGATGAAGAGATGCTGAGTTTGGAAGCAGAGAACAAACATAGTTCATACAAACAATGTAGGAACCTAGTTATGGATGGATGGATGGATGGATGGATGGATGGATGGATGGATGGATGGATGGATGGATGGATGGATGGATGGATGGATGGATGGATGGATGGATGGATGGATGGATGGATGGATGGATGGATGGATGGATGCATGGATGGATGGATGGATGGAGTTATCAGACTTTTGGAAATGGAAAAACTAGCTTTGCTAACAGACTAGTTAAGCTAACCATGATATTTATTATTATAAGCTACAACAGACCATTTAAAAGTCCAAATCTTATTTCTAATTTTTTTTTTTTTTTAAATACTATCCTATATTACAGTCACCTACAAAAAAGTTACCTCAGAAATTAACAATGTTTAGATTAGAATCTAAAGTTTTGTTAGAGAATCAGGTGGGTTTTTAGGGAATACAGTCTGGAAAACACAAATTTCACAGTAAAATTATATACTGTACATGAAGTTTCCGACAAGCTGCTTAACATCAAAATAATTTAAGAGAAAAAAATGATCATGCACTGAAAAAGAATCTAATTTGTTATTATAAACACAAGTAAAGAAGGAAAGAAAGAGGAAAGATTTTAATGAAAGCAAACGGCTGGTTATACTACCGCAGTGGTGTGTCGCAGTTAGCTTGTTGCAGGACTGACGCAGATATTTTTGATTCATGCCCAATTTTGAAGCGTGGTCTGTGCTATGTTATTCCACGCCATAAGGCAAGAGGGACAATCACGAACTAGCTAGAATTGTGGGTGTCCGTGTGTCGGCTTGACGACGTCTACAACCCCACATTCAACGCCGGATGACACACAGTTCACCAGAGAGTCTTCCCGAAAGACTGGCCGTGGCGCTGTTTGTTTTGGCTTTGTGTGCAAACCAACAGACCGTTGCACAGAGCTACAAACCAGCGTCCTGCACGGTGTCTGGGATAGTGTTCAAGGTGTGACAGGCGTTTTGGACGGCTTTACAGCAAGAGTTTCTGCCATCTGCATTAAATGCGACACACACAGATGAGCTGGTTGTCATTACCCGATCCGTACCGGAAGCACGATCCGTACCATCAGCTCATTAGCGCGTGCGCAAACAGAATAACTTCCAGTGGCAATATTTCCTTTTTCTTACTTTTTTATTCTTTTGTATTTTTTAGAGGCATGGGTTTCTTTTTGTATATCTTTGTATTTTCGTCAATATTGCATTTTCTAAAAATAAAAAAACAGAAATACATAAAAAGTTCAATCGCCTTGTGATAGTTACTTTGACTGCTCTGAGCATGCGCAAATATACGTCACACAGCATATATATTTAAATTTGTTTAAATCTTTGATTTACTCTGTACTTAACTATGCACTCCAGCAGTACTGATCCCACAATGAATTCATTTGCTACCTTTCGTGACCTGCAGTTTTTCATTGATAAGGGAACATTTCCCGAAAATTTGGATTTTTATTCCAGAAAAAAAATAAAAAGGATGTCTCCACATTTTCAAGTTAAAGGTAAGAAAATTAGGGCGTGCTCGTGTTGTAGCGGGTAGCGTGACTCATTTTTGGAGTATTCTTTAATTATTTAAGGATATAAATAAAGTTTTTTCAGTACCGTAATTACATTATTTTTTGGCGACCCGGAAGTTATTCTGTTCGCGCAGGCGCAAATGAGCTGATGGTACGGATCGTGCTACCGGTACGGATCGGGTAGCGACACTGGTTTCTCTTCTATATGTTTCCCAGCAGTCTTTGCTTCTAGATTAGTATTAATGAATTAATTGATTTGAATTCATCCTGGAGAAAGGCCACAAAGTGTATAACATTTATATAAAAAAGGGATGGTTTCTTACGCAGCCACACAGAGTACAACATCAAAAGGTAGAAGTTAATAACTTTAATTGAGTCTTTTTTTAATGAAAATTAAAAATATCTTCAAAACTAGGGGAAAACTGTTGATTATAAAAGGACCACCCACACACTCACACATAAACCAGGACCCACCTCCTCCTCTGACTGCACCAGTCTGGAAGTGACCCCTGTGGTGTAAATGCTGCCGTTGGCGTCTTCATGGATTCTAATGTTGGACTTCCTGCTGCGACTCTCGGGATCTCTGGTGCCATCAAACAAGTCCAGGATCTCCTCATTGTACAACTACAGCAAAGTCATAAATCCACACTCGTTATGTGAGCTTTGGTCAAAGAGCAAATACTTTCTTTTAATAATGTTTGGCCTTTGAGTTTCTAATAAATATTTTGTTAATCCACAAATGTCCATGTTATATATATATATATATATATATATATATATATATATATATATATATATATATATATATATATATATATATATATATATATATATATATATAGACACATTCTTCTATAGTTATTCATCTCTGGACTAAACCTGAATCTGACTAATTCAAAATAATAAAAAGAAAACTGCACTTTTCTGGACAACATAGAAAAAAGTAAATCGGATGTTTCTAGTGAAAGAAACGGATCAGCTGGGTCAATGTGCAAAATAATGACCTCTGTAAAACTAGTCAAGCTAAAGGTCACAGAGGTCACCTGAAAGCTCAGCTGGTCCCACCTAATGTCAAACACACATACACCAACCATCTGTTTATCATCAACACAGATAACCTTTTGACCCCAAAAGCTAAAGACAACAAAAAACACCCAGAAACAGGATGGTCTAAAGAAAGAAAATACAGAAGCCTAAACAGGAGGGGTGTTTTCCTGATTAATTAGAATTTATATTAAAACCTGATTGTTAAAGGAAACCAGATCACACAGGCGCCTAAACGTACAGCAGAGGCCCCCTTAATAGGCCCTGAACATTTCCCATCCAGAAATCCCCCTGAGGAAATGATTAGTAGCCATATATCTAATTTCTCCTACACAAGCATCCCACCCTCCCTCCGATTTCTCGCTCTTATCCATCTTCTGCTCCTCAGTGATGAGGAATAATGTCAGAAGTAATGGCAAACATTAATCAGGTCCCACAAAGCACACGCAGACATTTCAGCCCATCTGTCTTCAAACTGTCACTTCCTGTTTGTGAAAGACGAGTGGGGGGTGTGTCCTGTTGCCTCCTTTATGTTGTCCCATCTGGTTAGCGTTAATATTGACCAACATTCAGCACACATGCTAACAAATGCATTGATGCAGAACATGTTAATATGTCCGATTGGGTCTTTTCACGTGTCCTACCTCCAAAAACTGGGCGCTGACTTTAAAATCGGGCGGCTGGATGCCCGTCTCCTTGGCGCGCTGCCTCCTGCTCTGGATGCCCTCAAACAGCTGGTGAACAGCCCGTGGGATGATGCCCTGCTCCTGCTGGCTCAGGCTCACATCGAAACCCGTTCCCATGGTGTAGGTCTTCCCTGAGCCTGTCTGGAAGACATTTTTGTTGACAAAAAAATGAGAACACCCTTACAATTAAGAAACGTAAATCAGTTTTTATATCTATGTATGAACAGGCAATGTCTCCTTATTAAATTGCCATTAATTCAATTATATCTACTGAAGCTCTAAGACCATAGCAGGCTATTTTATGAAGTCAAAGGTCGGCTATAAAAAAAGTGGAATTAATCGTGATAGGAGCAGTTTTATTTAAAACACATTCACATTTGCTACTTCCGTCGCACATTTTGAATGCTCTATGCATGCAAATTCAACACCACGAGGACCACAATATATCACAAGCATGGGCTCATGCTCCTTCACTCTTTATAATCGCCTGTAGATGCACTCCTATTCCGATGTCACCTTTGTCACTTTGAGGGTGGAACCAAGCTGAGGAAGTGAACTTTCTATGATTGGCTACTTTTCAGGAAATCCCACCTCTTGAAACAGTACCTGCTTTCCTCCTGGTTGTGACTTTAGCAAAGCATCTTCAGGCTAATAGCTGTTCTATAGACTTGCTTTTTTAAAGGTTTGGTGGAGGATGTTCTTTTTTCCGGGTGGATCATCAAAATAAGTGGTCCTCCTAATTGTCAATCATTCTGGTAATATGTTTACGTAAGGCCGTCCTACATGCTCGTCCCAATAGACCTTTTTCACACTTCCGGGTTTTAAAGCGGATGTGGGGTTTGACAACTTCAGGTGGCTATAGCGTTAGCATAAAAGTCTAAGAAAATGGCTCAGTCTCGGCGCAGTTGTTTTTGTTCTGTACCTGGTTGTTCATGTGGGGCAAGAAAACAGCCATATCTGTCCTATCATGCATTCCCACAGATTATGTTGCAACCGCAACAGAAACATAAAACAAATAGTAACAACTGAACAGGAAAATGTTAGAATAAGCTCTAAGTAGTCCAGAAGTCGTACGTGAAAGTTCTTCAGCCGTCAAACATGAACAGGAACTCGAACCAACGAACAAGAGCCAACCGGCTTTCTGACTGTTTCAAACCTGCAGCTTGTGCGGTTCCTCATTTTTCTTCATGGATCTGAAGCATCTAGCTCTGACAACTACCTGTCCCTCGACAATATTTGACACTACAGGCATGCAGAAGTAAAGCATAGTTTCAACATCAAGCATCATCTAGAATCTCAGAACTAACATAACATTCTAGCATGCTGTTTTTCACAAACTGTAGAGGCAAACACTATTTCAGAATGTCAAAATATAACTGAAAAGTTTAAACTATGTCCGTCTCCAATATTCCACATAATTTAGATACTAAGTTAGGCTTCATTACGATGTTTGTGTAGCTCATATCTTGCAGCTAGCGGTTAGCTCGCTAAGCTACGTCTTTTCTTACCTTGATAGCTGTGGATATATTCTTCGTGGAAGAACTTGTATCCTTTCACAGATTTGTTGGTGGGGGAATTCGCCGCAGCGATTTCCTCCGCATCCGCGAAAGAAAGTGTTGGCAAACTAAGTAAGGATGACGAAAAGCACCGGAGGAGAGACATTTTTCAGAGTAAAACAGGAAGTGCTCCAGCCCTTTCAGACGCAGCTTCCGGTTGTCGTGAAAAAGGTCTATTTTCACTTACCGGTGGTGAGTCTGACATGGTGGAAAAATTGCAAATCTTTTGGAAAGTAAGCTTGAATGACCGATGCAAACAGCAACTTTTAAACAGAGCGTGCATGGGGAGAAATGGGCTTGTGCACGCTCACGCACGCCTTTAACAGGCATTTCCTCTCGTGACCGGGTACAGGGTTGTGCATGTTCTTTTTCTTTTTTTTCAAGTGAAGAGGGCAGGCACATCCTGCACTATACGACGTATAACTTAGCCTAAATCTACAAAGCCTCGTGGTGGTACCTGTCCGTAAGCAAACACGGTTGCGTTGTAGCCCTCCAAGCAGCCCTCGATGAGCTTGTACACACAGGCCTGGTAGATGTGCTGCTGCTCTGAGTCGATATCAAACACGAAGTCGTACGTAAAGGCCTTGTCTTTTCCCAGGAGGACCTGCGGTTCTCCGGGTGTGACCAGCGTGCAGACGTGGCAGCCCTCGATCTTCTCCTTCGCCATCTGAGGACGAATCCTAAAAGATTGGGAGAAGAAAACAACTTAGGTCAGAACAAAGAATGTGGAAACTGTAAAGTGGAAATCTGAAACCTCGATGGGAATGGAGTCCTAAGCATTTTAATACATTTAACAGGTAAACTTAATGATTTAAAGCAGAAGACGTGTATGGTATGGTACTGTGAAAAAAGTTGGGTTTTTTGTTGTTTTTATGTCAATACTAGCTCGTAGAGGGATATTGTTGAGGGGGAGAGACATGCGGCAAAGGAGCACACGACAAATTCAACCCTAGGTGGGCCATGTTGAGGATTAAGGCCTCCGTACATGGGTTGTGCGTCACCGAAGCATGTCGAAAAAGGGTTATTTCAAAATCAAGGTATTTACTAAAAGAAAATAATATTTTCAAAATTTCTATGCGATAGAAATTTACACCAAAAGCGCACAAAAATGACTAAACTCGTCTGCACCAGCTGGCATGAGTGGAATATGCAAATATCTGATGTATTTTTCCAGACAACGTAAGGACAAAAGTAAGCAGTAAATCTTCCAAAGCTTTTTCTGCAGAATGGGGGGGGAGATTTGCTGACTTATATGAACCTTTTCATCCATTCATACATCTAATTATACGTGGAGGTAACATCAACAATAAAACCTGTACCCCCAACAGCACCTCTTCTTTCATTCCTGACCTGCAATGTTGCATTATTCTCCAAATGGGATCATTATATAACCAAAAAAAAGAGCTGCTTCCAAGTACCCTGTCCTTCGTAGTCATGCTGCGAGAATGCATCCAAAGTTTAAAAAAAAATAAAAAAATCCCCCACTGTGAAATATATGTGTGAACAGCAGCTGTGGAGAAAGTCTGGACCGAACTCTCTGCAGTTTTCTCCTACAAAAAAAAAAAAAAAAAAAAAAAAAAAAAAATGCCTCTGGGTTGGTGTGGGAAAATAGCTCGAAGTGGTTCAGCAAAGATTAGATACTGCTTAAAATCACCACAAAAACAAACTGCCTACTGTTAATGGTGGATTTAAATAAATAAAAGAGAGCTTAAAAGGTCTGGGATGTTTTATTGACATCCTCTAAATTCTCCTATGTTAGAAACATAGTAAAATTAGTTTAATTTCTATCAATGGTGCAAACCGTGACAGTTCATCATTCCAGGAATACATTTTGTTTGCAGATGCAATAAATTGCTGCTAAACAATCAAACATTGCTGAGAAGGTTTGGTTAAATTTAGTACAAAGCCTTCTCCAGCCTCTGGATAATGATAGACATTCATCTTTTGTTTTAGGTTGAAGCTAAATGCTATACAGTCTTTCAATGCTAGGCAGTATTTTCACATTTGGTCAAAATCCACTCCTAGAAATTTGCCACACCTGGTTCACAACCCTGGTAGTTAGAAAACCGGTGGGATTTGCTCATACAGTGGAATTAATATCATCTATTAACAACACATGCTGGTAGTAAGATATATAAAGGAACACGCTAACAAACATGTACAGAACTATGTGAACTGCTGGTTTAATTTAATTCAAACCACAACATAACAGAATACGACTTGTGCAACTTTAACTCTGATAATATCTTATGTTTTTTAACCATATTTGATATGAACTAATTGTAAAAAGACTTTAAAAACCTTACTTGGGTGTAACTTAAAACATAACTTAGTCCAATCCTTCCTAAATTGGAAGCAGAGGACGATCTTTTATTTCCGGCTGGATCATCTAAATGAGTGGTCCTCCTAACTGCCAATCATTCTGGTGATGTGTTTACGTAAGGCCGTCCTACGTGCTCGTCTCGTTAGTTTTCTTTTTCTGCCCATTCGCACTTTCAGGCGTACATCTGTGGTGAGCTACGGTTTAAGACAGTCATTGAAGCTCACCTTTCTCACCGCGGTTCTTTGAAAATGGCCGAGGGTCGCAAGAGAAAAAGTGTCTAAAAAGTGTATGAGAAAAAAAGAAAGGCCTCAGAAGAGGCAGATATATCCCAGAATGCTTTTCATGGAGATCTCTCCTCACAAAGTATTTTGAGATTTGCAGTCACAGCGGCCCGCTGTCCCCATCTGACAGAGGCGACTATTAACAAAGATGGCGCAGGCACTGTGCAATGGGGAATGATTACGTGTCCGAACGGTAAGTTGACTGAGTTCCCTGTAAAGTCCACGATCTATATAGAGATTGAGGGATTTAGAGGTTACGGCGGACATTCGAACACACACAAAAAATCAACAAAATCCTCCAAACTACCCATAATGCATCCATCCATTTTAACTTCAACATATGACAGTTCTTCCTATAGAAAACACAGTAGCAGAAAAACCTCAAGTTGCGCAATCTTTTATTATTTTTTCTGCATTTCGGGCATTTTTGAATTGATATATTTCTTTATTATCACAGAGTCGGGGACACACTCTTAACCATTTGTTTGGAAAACTAACATCTTATAGATTTTTAAGTTGAACGTTACCCATGACAGGAAGCCTCCCTAATAGATGCCGTCTATCAGTGATTTAATGAAGCCCTCACATGTTCTGCAGATTACAGTAAAAGCAAGCTTGCTAGAGAAGACAAATATTACAATGTCCAGGCTGTATTTTTTTTAGTAAATGCAATATATCATCTGTTTTTTTTAAATAAATATAAAAGAAATTTAAAAAACAAATGTTTAGACTAATATAATGCTAATTCTTTAAAAAAAAATCTATATAATTTCCTTTTTTCCTCCCTTATTTTGTCTCTTATAGTTAAGGTTTACCTATAATAAAAATAAGAAACCTCTCATGTTTCCTAGGAAGAAACTTGCACAATCAGTGGCTGATTACCACTTATCGGTTAATATATCATAATATTACACTTGTTTAATCGCTCCAATGGATAATAACACGTCTAATCCACTTTTTCTTTTTTGGAAACTTTAAAGCTCAAAATCTGTTCACTGCAAAGTCTGAAGGCAAAGAGTTAAAAGAATCCTTGCTGTGATTTATTCCATGTTTTGGAGTCAGATTATCAAACCCAAATAAAACAAACACTTTAACTTATTTTGGGATGATAAAACTGAGCAGAAATCTGAAATAAATCAAAAAGATTAAAGGTACTGTCTGCTTAATCTGAGACAAAGTGGAAACTTGGGAGTAGAACCTCTCTGTCTATGAAGAAAGACTGATAAGTCATTAGCAGAGCTGTTGCGAGCTCCTCTCATCAGGACTTTGCGTTCTGTCGGGTTTCCATCCTGACAGGTAGTTCACTGAAGTTAATTACTTTCACCTGACATCCCAGCTGTAAAATAATCCCCGATAAGATGAGGGTGAAGAAAAGCGATCCTTGCCAAGGAACAGCTTTGAACTCACTGACAAATGACGTCTGAGTACTTGAGTTTACAGGAGGATTTTGATTTGCTTGACAAAACAACTGAAGGCTTGGAGGCAAGAGAAAAAGATTTACTGAAGTTAAGGGGGAAAAAACCCCACCCCTTAATAACATGCTTCTGCATCAGTGGTGATTAACTGAAGGAAAATATATCGGGAAAGTTTTACTCTTCCTTCAATGAACTTACTTTGAAGTGAGGGTCAGCTGCATCTGTAGCTTTAGGAGATACAGAAGATAATGAGATAATGAAGCGTCGCATTTTAAGGCCTCTAGTGGATGCAAATAAACCATTCTTAAAAAAAAAAAACACACTAAATAATAACACTCAAGCAAACAGATGCATAGAGCCAGAGGGAGCTGGAGAAATCCACAACAGCTGTCGAAGGATGAGACTAAGCCACGAAAACATCCACATAGGAACTTCTGTAAATTCTGTAAATATTCAGTAAAAAAAAAAAAATTCAACAGTGCTATCTTCAGTTCACACATGGCTCCTCTAAAGCATGCATGAAGAACCACACCCACCACTGACACACACGTTTAATCCCTTCACCACAAGTTTTTCTGGTGCTGCAGAAACACACACACACACACACACACACACGCCAAGGGCACTTCTCTGGCCCTCCTTCTGGCACAGAGGCAGGAGATACTTCCAGCAGGGGATTAAATACATTTGAATAGAGCGATTCAGCAGCCGTACGCCGACCCGGGCCAACCTTATTAAAAAGAGACGGACTCTGAAAGCAGCTAGCAGACAGATGAGTTAAGTTTACTCCTGGATGTGACCTTGACACAGAGGTTAATGGATCCAAAAGCGCTGTTTAAGCCAATTATAAACATAAAGTGGATATGGAGAAAGAGCTGCACTCTGGTTTTATACAAAAGACCTGACTGCAGCAGGATTCACTGGGTCTGAGTGGTGACAAACTGAATATAAAGGGTTTAAATACTACTATGTGGAAAATCATGAAACCTTCTTTAGTTTTTTTTTCACATTTCAACCACAAACCTCAATATCTGTGATTTATATTTTGTTCAATAAACCAGCAGAAACTAGCACACACACATACAAAAGGAAAACAAGTATACATGGCTAAAATTTCTCTTTGAAGGTCATACCTATAACTTATTAATCACAGCAAACTTTGTTTGGGAATAATACCTCCACAGAACATCTAGTGTGAATAAAAAGCATCATTTAAAAAAAATATATGTATCATATAAATATTTGCTTCGCAAGTTTTGACGCATCCAAAGTAGAGGGTCGACTTGGGAGGATTCTGCACCGACAGTAGCTGGTAGAGCCGACGAATGGCTTCTTTTCTGTGTTCTCTCTGATTAAAGCCCAAAAAAAAAAACTAAGCAAAACGAGGGTAAACATCTGTCAAGCTTTAGAGCATAAGAGCCGACTTAAGGAAGCACAGTAGCTCAGAAGCCACACGCAGGTTTGAACTGGTAAGTTAAATGTCTGGTTAGCATTAACACTCTGCCAAAAAACAGACAATAAGTCCTGCCAAGTGCCAGTTTGCCTTTAAATATGATGACAGAAAATACTTCCTGTAGCTATGAACTCCTACTAGGGTTAATACTTGTAGACAACGTATTCGTTGCAGTCATAATTCCACCTCTCTTTGTCAGGGTTTTAAG